ATATTTATTTGTATTTTCGAACAAACCAAGGTTTTGGGCTCTTTACCGGCCCTGTACTCTCGTTCTTTGTCCAACATCCATCCGAAACAATTACCTACTGTCAAATAAGTAATTTTAATAAGCTTTAGTAACTTATTTAAGTAAATTTTAGTAACAGTAGAGCTCATTGCGAAAGTGTTCATCCAGGACAGTACTGCCACCTTACCTATTTCTGCCACCAAGCAGTAATGTCAGCATTATAGTGTTCCGGTTTTGAAGGGTAAAGGTCAAGTAAAGTCTCAGGGTGACGGGCGCAGTGGCAGTGCTCCTCAAATCTTTGCGATTTAAAGCTCTCAGTGACACTGCAACTGTTATGGATAGGCGTGTAGCTTACCATCAGGCGCACAACTTGTTCGACCCGTCACTTAATATTATATAAAAAAGTAATAGTCCACCATATTAAAATACGCATGATACGAATGGTCGACTATTCCTTATTTGACAGTAATTGTTTTGGACGGATGTCAGACGAACTATGATAGTAGACCCCCAGGAACCATGGTTACCAATGACCGGTCGAAAAAAAAACCATTCGTAAAAAATATATTAATTTACAATGTATTCCTTGATATTTAGGTAAATATACGCAGCAGTGTTGTAGGATAGCAATATTTGCTGTGAAATAGCTTTGTCTCCATTCTAAAAGATGTAGACGTCAGCTAATCAAATTAAAACCTTATATAAATGATGAGTAAGTCATACTTTCGATTATATCTGTAATTATCTTTAGGTACGGCCAAAAGAGCCAGGGTCATGAGACCATCACCTCTCCGCCCTACGTACTTGTCTAAAGTGGCATATAATTAGTTACTACGTCTATGTATACACTCCTCGACATATTGCTCAAATATGTTTATTTCATAGGTAAGCAAATTACATTTGGAATCCTAACGTGGCATGTAAAGTTTTTGCTTCACTATAGCTTTAAACCTCGTAAATGGTAAATTTTGAAGATCAATCGGAAATTTATTATAAGCGTATACGCTTCTATAATAACTTGCCTCTTAAATTAACTTGTGACTTTGTAGAGGCAACTATCAAGAACATCTACTTTATTTTTAACCGACTTCAAAAAAAAGGAGTTCCCAATTCGAGTGTATATTTTTGTTGGAAAAAGGGTACCTCGGTAGTGGTTACATTTAAATTTGAAGAAGATATTCCACCTCTAACCTCTAAGAGTCGTATTCTAGAACTCTACTCACGACCCTTAGGGTCGTATTCTAGACCCTAAGAGTGGCAAACTAGGGGATGCTTCCAATTTCGGACACTATTTCTGGTAACTTATTTCAACAAAACTATATACTAAATAGATTCCATGAACTCATGGAATGAACATGATTCCAAAAGGTCGTTTTTTGTACTCTGTACTGAGATTATTATTCATAGTGTTAATGTTCTTCTATCACTATTTTTTATAAAAAAATTACTACTCTTCTTAACATAAATTACATTTTTATAAATAAATGTACTGTGCCTCAAGTGTACCAGTGTTAATTTCTCTAAAATTCTCTGTCAAAAACTAGGTTTATATACACCGATTTTTCACGTTTCCCATTTTTTTATAACACAGTTACCAATTTCAAACCTTAATATAATAAAGTCAGAGTTCATTATGACGCGTAGAGCATTCGTTGTAACACAAGATAACGTAAGCTAACCTCTACATAGTTTAATCCAAAGTTTATTTTACATGTATCGTATACCACATTGGTAAGACTTCGAAAAGGTGACTTTTTTATTTTAATCGATTATCTGGTTCTTCATACGAATGAACGATCTTGACCCTACAGCTTATAATGACACTTTGATAAACAAAGGAAACGCGTACGTTTCACAATAAAACGTTAGTCACGCACTAGTTTCGCAGAAATTATCGAATGGAACAAAAAAGAAATTTGTGTTACCCATTTGCCACATGAGATTTTATTCGAAACTGTTTATTTTCATTATATATTTTAATTATGACACTAAATGATGGTATAAATATGATCAATTTCGGAAATATTCCAAACAGTAACTTAATAAGAGTTATCAGGAAAATTATGTACTATATCCATACACATGAATCTCCTAAAATCATCTTTTCTACATGTGTTGCCGTAATCGAGTAGAAAGATTGCAAATGTCGTAGTGTAGTGAGTGTGGGTCAACGCACCCAAGGTCCTTTACCGACGTGAAAACAAGTGTAACACATCTCCAATGCCATTTTTAACGCACTATGCCGTTCTATAGGATGAAAGGATTTTATTTAATCAAAATAAACAAGAAAACACTTGGCAAAGTGTGTATACGTTAATAAAGACGTATCTTTATTAAGCACGCGAGTAAAAAAAATATATTACCGGCGATCATATAGATTTGTTTTATTTTCGAATAATAATCTATGTCACCAATATATTGTATGGTGTGTAATAAATGACACCAACTACGTTTTCGCATTTTTAAGGATGTTTGGAAAGCGTAAGTAGTCCTTGCTTCAGAGTTTAAAGATTACCAAGACCGACTAGGAACCTGATCGACGCACAGGGCGATGCTTTAAGCAAAATAATTTTCTTAAATATATATAACACATTTTTTTTAAACTGACAATGTAATTTGTTTGCAGACATATTACTGATGAAATTTAATGATGTATAAAACACTTGGTTAATTTGAAGTACTGCCATTTTAGAGTCTATTTCAAGTATTAACTAAAGATACTTTTTAAAACATGTTCATTATTCCATAACACACTAGTAAATGAATATTTTTTTCACACTAGTAAATGAATATTTTTTCACACTAGTAAATGAATATTTTTTCCCTGTACATAAATACACATTTAAGAAAGCTGTTACTGAAGCTTTATTTATGACACTGTAGTAAATTGTCATAATGTCTTTAATTACCTTTAAAATGTAAATTGTAATGTTTAATAAGGGTAGGCAAAGATCACAGTCATCCACTTACTACAATCGCGATATGCCTTACCAACGCTTAATGTAACATTATTAAGTTTGTGGGTTTTTTAATTTTAATTTACTTTGTCCACATTGTACTTTTTTAACCGATAGTGACATTGCTTCATATTAACAATTTCTAATTATATAGTAATCTGAGCATGATATGGTTGATTGTATAATTAGTTGTACCGATTCCAACTATATATATTCACTTCTATGTCTCAGTAAAATTAAATAAATAAAAATAAGTAACTTACAACACATCCTGTTTTCCATCCGTCTTAAATATAAAAGAGTTGTTCTATTAGTGATACTAAAAGAAATGCAAAATTTAACCAGACTATCACTTGATTTTTTGTAAAGAGCTCTCAAAATCTAGAAATTCTGAATTAACAACTATTTTTTATGACCTTCAAATTCTAGAAAATCGTTAAGGATTTTTGATACAATTAGGATAAAAAGGATTTTTGATAAAAGAGAACGGAATGGATTTTTATGTAACTTTTTGGCTAATGGGCTAGTGGCCAATGCCATGAAAAATATCAGTATGTCAATGACTTTATTGTTAAAATCTAAATATTTAAAACAAGTTAGTCAAAACACTTTGTAAGTGGCTAAAACCCTTACTGCGAAAAGCCAAGAGAAATAAGAAAAAAAGCTTCTTGATAATAACCAACTGTAATGAAGGTTTTGAATATTTCAGCATTCAAGTGTTGCTGCTTTTTAGGCTTCTTTTTTAGGTACAATTGTTTTAAATCAATTTAAAAAATTCTGGTTACAATTTTTTTTTATTCTGCTATGCTCTTTGTTTCAAGCTATCTTTAAGCTAGCAAAAAAGTAGAAGCTGGTTAAATTTTTCTGGGAATAAAGTATTAGGCCCATACTCATGATGTACAAAATTTTTACATTAATCAGTCCAGTATATACAAAACAACAGATTATAATTACAACAATTTCTCATATACTATAATATCTTGGCCTAAATAAGCTAATGGTACTACTATATGTCTAATGTAGGAATGAAAACTAACTCCTTGAGCAAATTTTCTTAATCTGTCTTGCAGCACCATTAGCGATCAACCTGTATTTTTTGTTGTTTTTTGTGAGACGACAAATAAATTTCATTTATTATTATTTATGTGCTGGGTACAATATTTCAACAAATGCAAAGATATTGAGGTTTAAATGGCTAACAATTTTACTCTTGCAATTTAACTTTTTTTATTATGACAATTCATTTTAAAAACAGGACTACAAATAAACGCCTAAATGCCTAATTTGAGTAAATGTCTAACTTAACAATTAAACAATACTGCAGGTTTACTGAGTAAAGGGACATTGTGCCAAGTTCTTTCAGTTTTTGGGCTCCAGAGCACTGCATTTTGCCAAAGGAACAACACTATTATTGGCTAAACAGGATTGGTATGTGTAAATCTTTTAGGTAATAAAAACTCTTAATGAAGGTACCTCAGAGAGGAAAAATCAAAACATCAATCAAGTGCTCACGAAGAAAAGAAAAAAATAGTCTCATACACCACCTTCAATGTTCCTAGAGCACTTTTCTTACACAGTCATGCTATGCAGTTGTATGGGTTGAACCAGTACTTATTACAATTGCTCAGCCCAACAAAGACTGTAATAGTTTATGCAGAAAAAGATTAAGAATTTGTAGCTGTACTTTCTAATTTCGTCTCACGCTTTCTATAAAATCTTAAAAAGTCAAGCTTACCTTCTTCAGTAACACATAATGGGTACATACACAAGTATTTATTTAAAAACCGATATAAGAGGGTCGTACGCGGCTGGAGGACATTGTGTCTGCTCTCCTGGCTGTGTAGCGCTGTGCATTGATGTGCACAAGATAAGGTGAATCACATTCATCTATGTATACCTACGCATACGTACCGAAAATATCCTTAATGTCTCGACATGCGCTTCATCAAAACCAATAGTTTCTACGCATTAAACTACACCTACTATCCATAAGTCCATTCAAAATAATACAAAAAGTCCACTCACAGTAATTATTCATGAAAATATGCCCGACAATGCAGGTAGATTGCACAAAGATAGCTTCCTAATAATCAGTCAGTTACACACGTAAGTTCGTGGATTCGTCAATTTTATTGCACCAATCCTAAATAGTGTGTGTTCATCACAAATTACTTGTTTATTTCGCAATAATCGTATTTATTTATAAAATATCACCACGAAAACAACAGCGGTGAATGAACGATCAATCAATGAATAAAAAAACAATAGTTTTTGTCTCTGATTATTTGACAATACTAGAGACGAGATGAATCCGAAATATTTGACTACTTTTAAACAGATCGATCAATTAAAAAAAATGCTTTAGATATTAGGCCACTTGTTCTAAAAAGTCAAGAATTAAAGAAAAAGAAACCCATTGTGCAAAAATACTTTTTTTACGAAACGAAACCGGAAAACTTTACATAAAAAGAAATATTTTCATGTAAAGTTTTCCGGTTTTGTTTTCATAGACAACTTTCGTAGAAGTTCGAGGATTTCGCGCCAAAACGCCAAAATAACCTCAGAATCTGCGAGTTATTTGTGTCGTTGTTGAATAGTGAAATATTTTGTAGTAATTGCAGTGAACTGTTTACAAATTTGTTCTACATCATGTCAACTCCTTCTAAACGACCGTCGTCGCGCGCTTCTTCAGAAGCAGCGACTCCTTCGCGTCGAACTCGATCATCACAACAAGTCGTTGTTCCGGAAACTCCACAGCGATCCACCGGCACTCCTTCAAAAGGTAAACACACAATTACTAGTATTTGAACAAGTATATTATATATTACTGCGTTTCGGTTGTGAATAATAATAATACCCTACTATTATTAAGGTGGCTTCATTCGGGGTATATGCAGCCTCTCATCGTTACGACCATCAACTGATCTATTGTGATCACCACTAATTACAGTTCAGAGCTAAGGCCGACAGCATTGAAGAACTGAAGGACTATTAGGGGGTAGCATTGAGTGAGAAGATGAACAGGACTTTCAACCGCCTTGTTGCAGAATTTACACTCTCTATTCCCTCTCTGCCCAATATTTGACAAATGCTTGTTCAAGTCACATTGCCCTGTTAAGAGTCTAGAGAGCATTCTGATGCTATTCCTGTCCAATGACAGAGTTTCTCTACAGTGTTTGGCACTGTAGGCAGCTATCAGAGCTTTTGAATGCTCAAGACCCTTTGCTCTGTAGCCACACTTTTCAGGAGACATGTGTGCTCTTGTTCAGCAGAGTGCTTTGCCAGGCTGTATATACTATCCCTATAAATTATTTGGGTTCAATAAATGTTTCATTTCATTTCCCTCCATGTCAGAGTGGCCTGGAACCTAGTGCAGGACCACTTTATTTCTTTCCCTGAGAGCATTCACTACAGTCATACAGTTCTCTACAATCCTCAATGTTTGCGAAGGGAAAGAGTGTTGGTTTAATTACAGGCACACGGAAACTTGTCAACTCTTCCTTTGTCTATGTCCTGTGTAAGTTAATTAAAAAAAATAATTTGTTTCTGTAATAGTTTGTGTATGTACTCTGCTGTTGTAGATTCTCTCCTCAGTGAACCTTTTCAAAATTTGCCAGCCAATCTTTGAGTTAAAAACGCATGTGTTCCTCAACTTGGCATTGGCGGGTTTACCAATATGGTATTGATGGGGTTGTAACATTATAAAGTAGAAGTACCGCACATAGTCATTGTTACTTGACATTGGCGAAATCATTGTTTGTTTCCATGGAGTCATAGCATTTAAGAGAAGAAGAGCAAGGTGACAGGCGCAGTGGTAGTGTCTCTCAGATCTTTGCAATTTAAAAATCTTGAGTGGCACTGCAATTGTCATGCACAGACAGACGTGTCACTTACTATCAGGTGTATGACTTGTTTGTGCTGTCACTTGGAATCATAAAAAAATAAATAATTAGATTCGATTTTTATTTTCAAATTATTGCTGTCCACTAACTAAAATGTGGCTAATTGACAAATGGTCAAATATCTATTTTAAATAGCAAAAGATAGAGCACAAAATTCTCTTTTAAAAACATTTAAAATTAGTTAACGTGTTTGACTTATCGGAACTTACCCAAAAGATGCATAGCTGAAATATCATTAAACAATTTCAATATTCGAAAACTGGTTTATGGTTTTTTATATCTCAAAAAATGATTTTGTCACTTAGCCATGTTTTAGTTAGCAGATGGCAGTGTAGAACAATGAACATAACAACACCAGCAAAAATTGTGTTAATAATATCTATTTATAATACTTTTGTTTCAACAGATGGAACACCCCGGACCCCAAGAAGAACCCCTGGTACACCCAGTGGGCGTCGTACACCTCGCGATAACATCCTTGGAACCTCTCCAGCCAGAGCTCTGGCATCCAGCCCTATTGGTAATTTTTCCTAATGAGTTTGGTATTGTAGCGTCCGAGAGACATGGTGTCCATTCCACATTGTTTAAAATTCTTAAATTCATTAAAAATATTTTAAAATGTAAATAAATTTAAAAAAATTAATACCAAAATCATTAGAGGCCTGTATGTCTCCGGATTCCGTCAAAATCCAAGTAATAGCATGTTTCAGCAGCTGTTAACTTGTTGAGTGACTGGTTATCAATTGCTGTTACTTAGATTTATTTCTTATAAAATAATCTACCACATGTAACTTGTCTGCAAGTTCTGTGGTTTCCAATTATGTAACTTCATCTCACATCAAATAAAAGTTGTGAAACTTCAATTTTTGATGTTCAGTATTTCCTAAACACTATGGACCATTACAGGCTGATGTTTCGGTCAGGATAATTCGCCATTGATTATTCCTTAGCTACATGTACACTTATTGGATCAAAACAACCAAGGTTTCACAATCCAGTGTTGGGCGTTAATCAATTAAATTTCAATCAATAATTCAATCAGATTAAAAAATCAATTCAATTGAAATCAATTGCGACGCATCGCAATTGATTTAATTGCAATCGATTTTAATTGCAATTGACTTTAATTGCAATTGATTTTAATTGCAATTGATTTCAATTGAATTGATTTTAATTGCGATTAAATTTGCAATTAAAATCAATTCCGGCCGGTTGGGAGTCCCGGTTGGGAACCCCGGTTGGGGGCCCCCCGGTTAGGGCCCCCAACCGCCCCCAAGCGAGGTTTCCAACCGGGGCCCCCAACCGGCCCCCTAACCTGCCCCCAGCAGGCCCCCAACAGGCCCCCACAACCAACGCCCTAACTCACCCCTATATGCCCTATAAATTTATCATAATTGTCAGTTTTAATTGTTAATTGTTAATCAGAAACATTGAAAAGATTGAAAATTGATTAATTGTTAATTGTAGATATTTGCGATTAACGATTGATCAATTGTTAGTTGCGAGAGCCGCAATTAACAATTAATCAATTGTTAATTGCGGTTCTCGCAACTAACAATTGATCAATCGTTAATTGCTGTTTCGCAATTGACAATTAATCAATTGTCAATCTTTAATTGCCAGAACAATTAAATTTTGCCCAACACTGTCACAATCCATGGACATAAATTAAGAAGCTTCAGAACAAAAACTGATAACCTTTTATAATTTCATGTAGTCCCATTGAATGGATTAGTCACATTGTGTTTAGTAATTACTGTGTATAGTAAAACACTCATTATAAAAAAACACAGTTTTATCCATGTTTTATTGGAGCTAGTCGAGACATGTCATACTTGCGAGTTCTTAGGCTTTCACAATTGCTACACATTGGAAATGAAACAATTTTTTGGATCTAAATTGCATGCATATATTTGTTTTTTTAAACAAACCTTTTACAGGTCCCATGGTAACGTCCGACTAATATTGTAAAGTCATCAACCAGTTACGTCTAATAATAATGCAATTCACTATATTTTGAACAATAAATTAGAAAAGTTATTAATTACAAATACCTTCTTTTTAATTTACCCACAAACATTCCAATTTATGAGTTATTCATTTTGCAAAACAACTTTTTTAACAATATGAATTTTCACTAATCAAATAGCTATTTAAAGGATATTAGAAATAAAATGAAACTCTTAGTAATTCTGCAGTCTTGGCTTGGAAATATTTCAACATGTCATGTTTGGTGAAACTACAGGCACATGAGACTTGTTGCTACTTAAAGCTCTGAGTGGCACTGCAACTGTTATGGATTCTAGAAAACAGTTTAAGCTGAAGTTCTTACCTAAGATGATATAGATAAATAAAGTACTTTTTGTAAGTGAATTTAGCGTATATTTATTTTTTTTCAAACAAACCAACATTGTGGGCTCTTTACAGATTCCATGGTGTGATGAGGTGTACCTTGCTTACTTGCCATTTTAGATCTAGAAAAAATGGTTTCATTCAAAATATGTAGCAATGCATAAGCTTGTAAAAGGCATTTAAATGTACTATTATTTAATTTTTACTTGGATATATTTTCAGGAACAGACATAGACATGAGTTCTCCCCTTAACTATGGCACTCCAAGTTCACTTAGCACTCCGAGGTCAATGATGCGCGGGGTGATGACCCCTGCACGACAGAGGGCTGACCTCAGAGGACATCAAACAGGTCCTAATGTACCAGCCCCTACACCTACTAGGAGGGTAAGTTATTATATATAATTATAAATAGATTACAGATAGGTCGCTTATACTAGCTCTTCCATAATCTTCTAAATTGTTCTCAGTACTCAGAACAAATTTGTTTATTATTATAATTATCTACGAACAAATATTTTGCTCTGATATAGCCACCAAATGATCTAATCAGTTGAATGTAACCACAAATATCAAGATATTCAATATGGTCAATTTTATCTGTACATTCAGTATGGCAAAAATCATCGAGTATATAACCATTTCCGGAAATCCGGACTTCGAAAATAATAATGAATTAAAATTTGGTGGTTAGCTATATCTATACATGTAACTATACATTTGGAACACCTTATTCCGACCTGTAGTTGTAAACGCAATGGCATTTCGGTAATTTTCGAGATCATGGCACCTATATATTTTTTTGCTAGTAAAATATGTTAACTCCGCTGATTTTGCTTAACAATTAAACTGAATGTGTAGTGATATCGTTTTCCATTTAGTTCTTTGGTTTTTTTAACTACTTCTTTTGCCGTAACGCGATCTGTGAGAAATCTATTTCTACTACTACTACAGAAACCTAATCTACTGCTTCACTAAACTAGAGATGTCTCTTTAATAATTGTAATGTGTAAGTTTATTGAATATCACGACGTTTTACATTACCATCTAGTATATGACCAGAAATAGAGACGAAATAAGGTCCTTATTTCCATCCCTGGCAACTCATCAGGCAAATGGGCCTTTTATATATATATCACTTTTAAATATCAACTCTCGTTTGCACTGAAATGACAAATTAGAAAGCTGAAATAGTACAGCGCTAATAACTGACCTGCGTGTACGTCTCCGTATATTCCAAAAATATGCTGTATTTATTGTAATAAAGTAAATATCTCTAAAAATATCTGTTCCATTTGGTGGTGTGGGAAAAATAGCAAAACATCTAATTACAAAACAAACGGATTCACATTTCATCGTAATTAAATATTGAATATGTAATTTTTCAATTTTCGTTCTTTATAGCAAAGCTCAAGTTACGACACCCGTCAATTGTTTCGAATTCGGGCTGGCCAATCGGAGCGCAGTTGTCACTGTAATGATTTGGCAGAATAATTTTCAAACTAATTAAACGACATTTCGTCTGTATTTCAGGTTATATACTCGATGGTAAAAATGAACATATCTCTGAATTAAAATTAGCTTCAATATGTTTAGATGCTACTCTTAACATGGCCTGTTAGTACTAAGTAAAACCTGGCACCAATCACAACTATCACAACACAGTCTATAGTGCAGCAAGGCAAGTCTTGAATTTTATATGAATTATTTATCTGGTGTTTCGTAGGAGATAAATAATTTGACACATAATATTCATGAGAAAGAAAAATATATTTTTTATTTACTATATTAAAACCTTTTTACACTTTGTAATTTTGTCAATAACACTGTAGTCAATTTGTCTAACACTGCAATAAATTCACTGCATTTTTGGCACTGGAAACAATTACTTTTCTTTGAACCAAACTTTTTAGCAACTACATGAATGGCTTAAAGACAGGCATAAGGTATTTGATCAACAAATAGACAGCCGGTGCTACAGCGCTCATTTTTAAGCAAATGTTGAACGCTTTACGAAAATCAGCTGAAGTAGAAGGATTATACCGCTGGTCAAACACTTTTCGAAAGTCATGAGTCGAGCTGTTCTTCTCGTTCTGCGGAAATAGACAAATAGCGTGTGAGACCATGTGGCCAATTGCATAGGCATGTTCACTATAATTACTTTCTCTGTTGAATGATCTTATAACCAGGGCACAGGCCTCCTATCACAGTGAGAAGGCTTGGGTTGTAGTTCCCACGCGGGCCCAGTGCCGATTGGGAACTTGAACACACACCATTGAATTGTTATGCGACATGTGTACGAGATGTGTACAGGTTTCCTCACGATGTATCCCTCCACTTAGAAGCTGAAGGTAAATTTATAATTGCCAAAAAATTTGCAAAAATACTCAGAGGTGCAAGCCCGGATTCGAACCGACGCCGGCTCTCTGCAATAAAGACTGCATGCAGCACAGCAACTGATCAACGTAGGTAGTAAATCACAATTTATGGACAAATCAATCATATTTCTTCAGAAGTTTTAAGTACATTAACCCTTTCGTGGGCAGTAACACCGTTTACCGATCAATTAAGTATTAAAATATGACAGTACCAATTGTTGGAGCCCAGGACATAGCACAGGTGTAATCTAGTTTGAGCTCCTGTCTCCCAGCCTCTTAAAACTTTTTAATTAAATTAATTAAACCCCGGGTAGGGTAGGGTACCTCGTTTCGCTACATGGACCTCAAAAAGCCATCTACGGGCTTTAGGGCGCGTGTCCACGCTAAGAAAAGTCGCCGGGTCTATGCAAGAATTCGTGTCGTTTCTACAGACGAACTGTGTACACTGCCTCGGCGCCGGATAAGAAAAAATCTTGTCTACCCGACACGACGCGCTCTGCCGCTATTGTATGGGACGGGGTGAGGTGCATTGCCAGGAAATGAAGTGAAAATCGGTAGTAAAACGACAGCTACCTGGAAGACTTGTAATGCACTGAGACACATTTTACCCTACACACGTCTGTCCGAAAGCATTCGTACCGTATACATATTCATCATTTTCTCGCCTGCAACAGACACGACATGTTTTCGTGGCTAGATCCGACAAAGTTCTTGTCGTTACAAGACCATTCTCATTTCTGTAGCAGACACGTCGTCGAATTTCTTAGCATGTACACGCGCCCTTACAGTGCGATTCCCAAGTGCTTTCTGTGTGGTTGCCGCCAACTGCTTTTCCATAGAAAAGTATCAATAAAGTACCGACAAAATTCAGTGATTTCCATACATTGAACATTTTATATTGAAACAATATAAGCATTACGATAAGAAAAGTAGTGACATTTTTGTGTGCGGTACTTTTATAAATTTTATTTTTATTTATTTACTCGTATTACAATAATTTATTATCTAGGTACTTGGCACTCTTAAACCTAAGTTTGTGCTGTATTCGTAACATTTATACACACAATCTTATACATACAGACAAAATTTAGTTTATACCAAGATATAATACAAATGAACGTACACATAGGGTCGTATTCCAGAACTGTACTCAGTGCTCAAGTCAGGATTTGAGTATGATTCAAAGCACTAGAAATCATACTCAAGTCCTTGCCATTAGGGTCGTATTTCCAGTGCTTGAAATCATACTCAAGTCTGCACAAATCCTGACTTGAGCATTGAGTAGAGTTCTGGAATACGATCCATAGACAAAGCGCGTCACAAATAATAACAAAAAAAAATAATAATAACGTGATATTTAACAATCTTAATATATGAAATATAAATAAATATACAATGTAATATGTTAATAATCATTAAAATAGAAACAAAAATAACAACTAAAAACACGGTAGTTTTATAAATTCAAATATCGCGTTCACCATCACGGTCCGGTAGCTCAGCACTGCCACCGTCCATGAAAGGTTTAAGAAACTTCTAAAATTACTATTTTACGTAATATTTGTAAAACATGAAATATAGAGTAGTTAAACTTACAGTGATAAAGTTGACTTTTGAAACCGCAGTACGGCATAGAGGGCACACGATGTGGTCGCGTTTCTCGTAAGTTTTCCAGTATTGGCAAAGGCAATGCTCGCAGAATTGGTGGCCGCAGTCGAGTGTCGCCGGTTCGAATACCCTTGACAGGCAGATACGGCAGCTGCTCACTTCATACTTCCATTTTTCCTGATTACCGAAGTTTTGCGACTCGTAACCTATGCAAGAACCAAAATAACAAAATTAACTGAAGAGCTACTCAGAATTAATTCCGTTCAACGTATGTAATAATAAATTCTTTATTTTCTCACCACAATACAATATAGTGAACATAATAAAACTACAAACTAAACTTTGATAAACATATTTTGGAAGACTGATGTCTAAACTATAGGTTCACTTGGTGACCCGAAATACAGTCAGCATGTGTGTGTCTTATTTCATAGGTAAGCAAATTATAGAAAAAATCTTTTGAATGCAACAGAGAACAGAAGGGGGAAAATGTGTGGGCATTTGTTACATAATGATGAATTTGTGAGAGTGATAATTAAGTGGAAGATAGAAGGGAAAAGAAAGAGAGGAAGACCGAGGATAGTGAACAAATAAAGAAGACTATTAAAGTGAGCAGCTACAGAGAGGTCAAGGAGCGCGCTATGAACCGTGCAAAGTAGGAGACTGCACCCGCAAGAGCCTGGCTCTTAAATAGATGAAGCAAATTACACTTGAAATCGTCACAATGATTAAACTCTACTACTCATTCATAAGGCAGATTTCTGATAAGATTAAGTAAGAAACTCTAGGGTTGCTCGTATTAAATGAAGATTTGTATGCATTCGTTATTTACAATGTTTGTTGCATATATTGATAGAACAAGACAACAGAGCTAAATTTTATCAACCAAGTACGCAGAAGCTTTCTTTTTTTCCCTGTAGTTTTAAATCTCGTACTTGGCAATTTTGAATGTCAACTCAAATTTCATTATAGGCGTGTACTTGCCACATAAATGATATTTGATTTTTTTTTATTATAATCCCAAATGACGGGACGAACAAGTCGTGAGTCTGGTGGTAAGCGACACGCCTGTCCATAACAGTTGCAGTGCCAGTCAGAGCTTTAAAACGCAAAGATCGGAGGGGTACTGCCGTTGCGTCCCGTCACCCTGAGACATAAGTTGACGTGTCTCATGTGCCTATGTAATTTCACCATTTGTGAAGAACATCCAGTTTAGTTTTATTTCTCGTATTAACGTTATGATTAACATTATTTTTCATAAAAATATTACTATTCTTCTTAACATAAATTAATTTACATAAATGTACTGTGACGCAAATGTAAGAATGTTAATCACATTAAACTTATCTTTCAAGACACTTTGGGGCCCAAATTGTAAATTGCCCGAACCGCTCGTTTTAGCAGGGCAAAGGTTGTATTAATATCGGTGGAGTTATCCCAAAGCAAATGGCATAATTTGGTTGGACTGTACGAAAGGAAACTGGACGATTTCTTAAATTTTATTTTTAGTGTTTGTTTCGAATAGATTAGACATAAATAAACACTTTTTGTTCTCGCTATTATTTTTTCTCCTCGGGCTATAGTTTTCGGGAAAATTAAGGACGAAAATTTAATTTACATTTAAAACATGTTACAACGAACAATGCGTCTCTAGCATTAAATTCGGTTCTGACTCTCGCCGGCCGCTGCCGCGAACCGCTCGCTACCCTCACTCTTTTCATACACTTAACAAAACACAATTTGTACCAAGTTAAAAATCTTTAAAAATTTTCAAGCAAACTTTCCATAGTGCCCCCTTTCCTACCGTCTGATCTGTATTTCATTTAGCTAAAGTAAACCAATCTAGCGGTTTTTGCGTCTGAAAATTTTCGTATTATTTTTCTCGTACACCCTGCAGAGCTGAGCCGTTTACATGTAAGACAATGTGTAAGACTAAAAACCTTAAAGTAAACTTTGCAAAAGGCATCAAATAACACATAAATAACAAGTAATCCTTACAGACAACAGTGGCTTAAGAGTGAGCTTGAATGTTACGAACCTACAAGAGATGGAACGCATTCTAGCGACGGTACGTAGTCATACACTAGTTTGGTCATTTTTCTTAGTGCTGTGGTCCACCACTGCACTTTATTAATTTGTTCTGTTTACATTTTTTTTTGAAACGGAAAGATTTCCAGTTCTCTTTGCGTGTTTGTTTTTATTATTATTTCCTTAATGGCACTAGGCTTGAGCCAGTGTCAGTTTCTTGGAATGGGTTTGTTTTTTGCAGTTCTTGAAACAATGACTGACGTAATGTGACATTCCTTGTCAGGTTTTCTCTTATTTGCTTCTGTTTTTTGTCCAGAATTTCAAATAAGGTTTTTTTTATTGAGGAAGTAAATAGAATAGCAAACATTTTTTGTAGTCTTTTTCTCTACTTTGCTTTTGTTCATGTACTTACGACTTATTGAGTTCTTAGGTTTTCGCGATTGTTATCAATGATATTATATTTATTTGTTACACATAGGAAATGGAAACTATTATTACGGATTTAAATCCCGTATATTTGTTTTTCCATTGAATGAATAATGACTGTATTACCTCAGTCAACCGTGACCATGGGACCTGTAAAGGGCTCGAAACGTTGGTTTGTTTGAAAAAGCAAATATACGCGATTTAAATCCGGAATAATAGTTTCATTTCCTATGTACTTATGACTTTTTAACAGCTTCGTTACTTTAAGAAATACGAGTACAAGTTTTGAACATTTCTTTTCAAGCTAACTCAATTGGAAATCTTGCACATTCTCACATTGTATTCCCACAATAACCGCTGAACAACAGAATATGCAGAACCCTCTAAATCCTAAACGGAAACGGTCGATATTGGGCATACCCAAAAAGGGCTCCTTCAATAAAAGACAACGAAGATTTATTTTACAGAAGACACTAGACACTATATCTATTAAAAAACAAACCTACTTTTATTGAATTAACAATATAATTGTGTTACAGTACCTAATAATAAAAAAAACTTACTGTTGTTAAATACTTTTTTATAATATCAAGTGACGGGACGAACAAATAGTGCGCCTAATGGTAAGCTACACGCCTGTCTATAACAGTTGCAGAGCCACTCAGAGATTTAAATAGCAAAGATCTGAGGGGCACTGCTACTGCGCCCGTCACCCTGAGACATGAGTTGACAAGTCCCATGTGCCTTTGCCTTGCCTGAACCCTTGTCTTTTAAAACCAGAACACAGTAAAGCTGACATTACTGCTTGGCGGCAGAATTAGGTATGGTGGCCGAACCTGACCTTGGACGAACTCTTCCACAAGGAGCTACTACTACTATTGTGTATCCATTTAAACATACCGCAAAGTTTATTGTAATTATTTTCAGGCTGAAGATGGTGCTGCAGAAGTGCCGTCAAGTGAGCCGCAGCTGGTAGTATGGGGCACGGACGTGGCGGTGGCGGAGTGCCGTGAAAAGTTCGTGCGCTTCGTGCAACGCTTTGTCGAGCCTGACGCGGTCACCAACGAGGCGTTGTATGAGCAAAAACTCGAAGAGGTCAGTTCGCATCCACTTTAATTTAGTCTAATGATATCAAGATTTGGCGTATGCCTACATAAACAAAAGACAAGTTCACCAAAACTTAGCTGTATGATTTCAAATCTTTGCCTTTTCTTTTACGGAAAGAATGAGAAAAAAACAACTACTACAAATTCCATCCTCTATCCAACTTCAAATCCCGTTTCCAAATTACATTCCATGATATTATAAAAGTTTCCCCGTTTTATAAACAAGTTAGTCAAAAGACTTTGTAAGTGGCTAAAATGCTTACCGCGAAAAGCCAAGAAAAATAAAAAAAATTACAATGCTGCCGTCCTTTTCATAAACAACGTAATCGACATTTTTAGCGAAGTTGAGTTATTGATATGTCTAAAATCATTAAAACGAGATCTACAACTCCCTACAACCTAGAAGCAGTTTTTTATATCTTATTTTATTTTTAGTTTTATTCTTAACGCTAAATCAGCGTAATTGACATGCAAAGAATAAAAAATTCAGTGCCAAAAGTGAACGTTCATTTTGACCTTTATTAGTTCGTCCAAATAGTTCGTTAAATTATGGTAGGGATGAAATAACATGTATGTGGTGTTAGTTGATTGGTTCAAAATAGAACCCCCGGCCTACGTAATGTGCCTACGTAAAGTTATATTAAATTTGATTACAAAAATTCTGTTGCGTTCGCAACGCGCTTTTTGACCTCCCGGGTTCGATTCCCGATAAGACCAATTTAGGAAATGAACTCTTCAGAATTAATGCTTTAGCAGTTCTCTGGTACACATAGTACAGGGGATTTCCTGGTTTGAGTCTCGGAAATGGATGTGGTTGTCTGGCGCATTATTTAAACTAAAGCTAAATTTGAAACTTTAAAACTCAACTCATCAAAAAAATAAAAAAATATGTGTTGATTATCGCTTAACATACATCCAAAAAAATACAGTCGAATTGCGAACCTCCTCCTTTTTATGATGTCGGTTAAAACATAGTCTATTTAAAGTACAAACTGAGGTTGAGACCAACCTAATATTAAGTAATTAAATATTTGTGTCGTCCCGCTCTTTCTTAACTTAGACATACCTTTGATAGAACTAAAGTTAAAAAATAAAATAAGACACAAATTAAAATAAAACTGCTTTTCGGGATTGCTTGTTAAGTAGCTACTGTGAATTCCAAGAACACTTACAAATACAGATTTCCTTTTTAAAATTTCAGATACACACTCTTGAAGAGCCTTTCCTGGATGTGGATTGCGAACATGTCAAGACATTCGATCCTAAGCTGCATCGGCAGCTAGTGTGTTATCCACAGGAGGTAAGGGACATTTCAACAAGCAAATGTTTACTTTTATTCAGTTAAATATGGCATATAACCTACATAATATGTACTAACTTATATGAATTGTGCTTGTCGCAATATCATGTCTGGTAATCGATTTCGGAATCGTCGGTATATGAGACCCTTCGGCTAAAACTCCTAAAGGTCGACAGATAATCGGTAGGCACTCTCACCACATACGACTTAAAATTTATATTGTGGCGGGACTCCAACCACGCTCGACCCTCAGAATGTATTTGGCTTTACATCTGACGAACGATGATTATGCAGACTTTTCCTTGAACTGTATAACTTGGACCTTTTCAAGGCTATAGGCATTATTTAGGTGTGCTCCAGCGTCGACCTCATCGTCACTTTCCATCAGGCGATAAGGAGGTCAAATGCGCACTTAGTTTTTTAATAAAAAAATACTACCATCTCAGAAATATGTAAAATGTGCTAAGATCATGAATGACGTGTTGTTGAGGTCAAATAGGTCCTAACTAGAGATGGGTTTTTACCCGATAAATATCCGTCAAAGGATAAATATCCAATAAATACCCGTTTTTACTGAGTATTTATCCTAAAACATGGATAAATATTTTTTTGTGTTTTTTATAATACAATTCATTAGAATTAATTTTTTATTAAATAATTACGTGCGATTACTTCTCATTTTGCCGTTGTTTTATGTAAAGGCGCTCCCTCACCGGCGAGCAATCGCATGTGAACATTCATTTTAGAGCATTACATTACTAACTACTTCCTTCACCGACGAGCATTCGCATGCAAAGATTCGATTAGGCTGCGATTCCACCAGAGATATGCATGTTAGCAAGGCGTGCGAGAGCCCGCGAGTGCCCACGAGAGCCTGCGAGTGCCTTTGAGTGCCCGCGAGAGCCAGGAGTACCTTTCATTGCCTTTGAGTCCTTTTGAGTGCCAGCGTGTGCTTTTGAGTGCCTGCGTGTGCCTTTGAATGCGTTTGAGAGCCCGCGAGTGCCTTTGAATGCGTTTGAGAGCCCGCGTGTACCTTTGTTTGCTAGCGAGTGCCTTTGAGTACTAGCGAGTGCCTTTGAGTACTAGCGAATGCTTTTGAGAGCTTTTGAGTGCCAGTGCGACTGAATTTGAGTGCCTTTGAGTACTAGCGAGTGCTTTTAAGTGCCTACGAGTGCCTTTGAGTGCCGGCGATTGCTTTTGGGTGCCTTTGAGTGCCCGGGTGTGCCTGCGAGTGCCTCTGAGTGTGCCTGCGAGTGCCTCTGAGTGTTTTTGAGTGCCGGCGCGTGCCTTTGAGTGTCTTTAAGTGCCAGCGAGTGCTTTTGAGTACCCAGGTGTGCCTTGAGTGCCCGGGTGTGCCTTGAGTGCCCGGGTGTGCCTTGAGTGCTAGCGAGTGCTTTTGGGTGCCTTTGCAAAGGCACTCGCGCAGACGGGTACAAAGGCACTCGCGCGCTTCAAAGGCACTCATAAGCACTCACTGGCACTTTAAAGCACTTAATAGTACTTGCTGGCACTCAAAGGCACTAATAGGCACTCAAAAGCACTCAAAGGCACTGAATTGCACTCAAAGGAACGCAAAAGTACTCGCGGGCACTCAAAAGCACGCGCTGGCACTCGCGGGTGCTCATAGGCACTCAAAGACACTCGATGGCACTCAATGACAGTTAAAAGCACTCGAAGACACGCAAAGGCACTCATAGGCACTCGCCGGCACTTAAAGGCACTCAAAAGCACTTGCGGGCAATCAAAGGAACTTAAATGCACTCAAAGGCACTCGCGGGCACTCAAAGTCACTCGCAGGCACTCAGAGGCACTCAAAGACACTCGTGGGCACTCAAAGGCACTCATAAGCACTCGCTGTCACTCAATAGCACTCGCGGGCACTCAAAGGCGCTCAAAAGCACTCGATGGCACTCAAAGGCACTCGCGAGCACTCAGAGGCACTGCTGGCACTCAAGGCACTTAAACGCACTCAAAGGCACTCAAAAGCACTCGAAGGCACACGCGGGCCCTCCTAGGCACTCAAAACTTCATTTCATTTCAAATTTTCATTTTCAAAGGCACACAAAGGTACTCGCGGACACTCAAAAGCACGCGCTGGCATTTAATGGCACTCATAGGCACTCAAAGGCACTCATAGGCACTCAAAGGCACTCATAGGCACTCGATGGCACTCAAAGGCACTCGATGGCACTCAAAGCACTCTCTCTCCGTGTCTTGCGCACTCATGTAAATTAGTCTGTAGCGAATTTAGGCTTTGGCAAAGTAGTGGCTAAGTGATTTTGAATTGAATTTTCTTTGTTTTAGAATTAATTATCGTTTAAGTATTTCTAATGGAGTCTTTAAAAATAAAATATTGAACAACCAAAAACCCTTATATTCTATATACGAAGCTGAACCACTCTACAATAACGGACTAACTTAGTAATTTGAAAAAGAATCCATGCAAAATGTTAGACAGCTGTTTAATAGCGAATATAATATTATATAATTATAAAAACAGCTATTATATAATAGCTGTTTAATAAGCGATTTTTTAACAAACTACGCATTGAAAAAATAATAACATTCACGCAAAAATACAGGGATTTACGGTACTTAAACCTATTCTTTTTATCACTGCGTATAGAAAAAAAGGTATAACAAGCAATATACTATACGTACGTACTACTAAATTGTATCAATGTTTACAATTAAGATTAAAAATATACTTTGTTTTACTATATAAATAATAAACCACGATTAAGATTACGTTTTTGGATAAATTTCGAGTAAAAATGGATAAATATAGATATTTATCTATATTTATCTTTCTACTGAGTATTTATCCCAAAGATTAAATATCTTTGGGATCCATGACCCATCTCTAGACCTAACGTATCACAAAGTCGAAAATTTTTTGTCCGAAATAACGTTTGTTCGAATTTTCATTACACCAAAAACCGAATTATAACGAAATAGTTGTTCTTTCAGGATATGTTGAATTTCTATCGCAAAGACACGATTAGGTTCAGTTACGTTAGGTTAAGTTAGAAAGAAAAAAAAGTTTAAAAGAAAAAACATTTTCCTCTCAAAATGACTTTCGAGGTTATGAAATTTCGACCAAAAGTTATTTCTGGAAAATGTCACCGGTCGAATGTTATACCAACAACCAAGCTAAGTGTTAAATACAGGAGCCAGTCAAACACGTCTTTTGTCAGTTAGGGCGAATGCGCCGTGACCGCGCTGCATATGCGCTGTGCACGCGCTACTCGCATACTGCACGCGCGCTGTACACGTGCATATAGTGTGCAATTAATACATGTTAAATATGTGACGCGCGGAACAGCACGAAAACAGATTGCACCACGGAATGCTCGTGTGCAGCTCGCGAGCCTTTCGCTAACAGACGCATTCGCCAGATCTGTACGCACCCTTATATTTATTATCTGACAAAACGTACCAAGCCATTACCCCTTTCTTCTAATCTTAAATAACAAGATTACCTACTTAACTAAAAGCAAATTATTGATATTACCTACAAATTAATTTACTTTATTTATAAGTACATGTGTATGGGCCAGGTGTAGTCCATACATGCACTGTAGTTGTAAGTTAGTTGTAGTAGTAGAGTAGCACGAAGAGAAAGATTGCTTGAAAGTTCAAAGTATATTTTCGTAATAAGTTACAAGTGTTAGGTGGCAAATCTTTTCTTAAGTAGTGTCTCTGTGGACAGTTGGTGACGTACTGAGTTAAAATTAAAGATTAATTAGTTATATTAAACAAAGAGCTGCGCGCGACCTAAGTAGGTTGCCGCGTGCGCAGATTTGTACTTAAGTATGTATGGTGAGACCATACAACATGAATTAAATTTGGACAGAACGAAAAAGTTCTGTTTAAAATAATAATCGTGCTATTTAAATAAGTCTTGACGATCCTCGTGGAGCACTCTCTGCATGTGCGGGATGCAATATGCCACAAAAATTCAAGTTATAATTTATTATAAAAGAACTTTTCATTCATGCATTTCAATTAATATATAGGTAGTTCCGGCTTTCGATGCAGCTGTGAATGAGCTGTTCTTCGAGAAGTATCCTGCGGCAGTGCTAGAGCACCAGATCCAAGTTCGTCCATACAATGCACCGCAGCGGCACATGCGGGACCTTAACCCTGAAGGTGATTGATATAAATACTTATACTGAATTTGTATTGGTATGGATCTCCTCGAAGATAGTAGAAATATTGAATTTAAGGCTGTCGTAGTTATCGAGTTCTTAGGTTTTCGCGATTATTACACATAGGAAATGAAACTATTTTTCCAGATTTAAATGACGTATATTTGTTTTTTCAGACAAACAATCGTAAACAAGCTGTCGTAGTTATTCACGAAATGATATCACGAATTACAGGTTTGTTACCACGATGTCATTTCTATATTTTTCCCCGATATTTCGGAACGGTTACACGCTCCATGGGCACGGGTTGACTGGCCAGCGGCAAATGAGAGCTTTAAGAACAGGCATATCTGTCTAGCCTCTTTCACTGTCGACGACTACCCTCATCTTGATTACTTGTGGCGTAACCGGCAGGTAACACATAAAAATAAATCATATCCTGGTAAGAAACCTGTAACTGCTGTTCATTATTTAGTGGAAATCTAGCTTTATTAGTACATGATAAATCACTTCGATCCTTCGACCGGATTAACATCTTCTACAATAAATAATAATTTCCTCAAACATGTTCAGAAATGTTTGCATTACTTTCAACGCAGAAAGTTTGTCATTTATGGACCGTGGGACTTCTACCCAGCGCCTACAAAGTAAGTATGAAAATCCATTACTGTCCACTTCTCTAAACTTTTAAATCTACTTTCTTATAATGAACTGTGTAAACAGACAAAAGAAAAACGCATGCAGCCAACTGCCTAGTGTTCATAGTTGCGAGAATTCAAAATACCTACCTGTACCACTTACTTAAAAAAAAAAGTAAATGGCGGTAACATTTAAATTTAAAGTGTTTTGTATTCTTTTGTTTTTTTTTCAGTCGAGAAAATGAGTGCTAGTGAGAAGAGCGATAACGAAAATACAGTAATAGATACACATTCAAACACATCATCAGAAGTTCAGCTGACTACTCAGAAATGTGCCTGGAAAAACAATAACATTTTCTTTTAGCAATTGTCCTAACACGTGAAATATTTCTTTTTTTTTTACATTTCTATTATACATCTTCGTTTCTTTAATCTTTTATTATTTCCTCACATTGTTTAAGAAAAATACTATACATGCCTAGGCGGGGACGGGGATTGCTTGACTCGTATTAATACGAGGCCTGACGCTTTGGCGCAATACAAGCTGGCGCCGGTCCTTGCAACTCATACTCGTCCAGGAATCCCTCACTTCCCGGCTTCTGAAATAATGTACTATTATTCCTGCAGCTTTCAATTTTATCACTGATAGATATCCTAATTTCAAGACCCTTTTTAATAAGAGAATCACCACATTTGGGAGGAATCGGCTTGAGGCGATCATGTTTTACCACATTTGTCGCATTTAAGCCTATTCATCGTCAGCGTGGCCGTTCGGGCTTCGACGGTGCCGCTTGGTCAAAGACTATCGTGAATTCGCAAGAAACTGATTCGTTATCGCTTTTATTAAATGGACATAGACGTAACGCGTTTTCTGACCGTCTTAATGCGAATCCATATCGGTAAAATTCTCACCAACTTAACAGTGTCACAAGTCAAAAAGCCACGTTTTTTGTTTTGTTTGGGCGCATGCAGAAGCTGTCCTGTTGATAAAAATTTGGCAGCATTTTACTCAGCCTGAAGTTATAATGAGTGATATTTGTCAACTAATCGGTAGAATAGGTAAATAAAATATTGCCATTAGTACAGCGACATATCTCGCCAGCTTCTAGTAAAAGTATCTGGCTGACATACTTCATAAGTTTTTCACAGGTAGCGTTGATAGCAAAAAAAAAGCCATTTATACCCAAAACAAAAATCAATAATAAACACATGGATAAATCGTAAGATCTGCTGGCTCGATTCGTGGCTCAGTTGATAAAAGCGGTAGCCCCGACGTGGCAACAGACGCTGGTTCGAGTCCAATCTGTTAAAAGGAATTTTTCCTTCTGTTGTTTAATATTTTTGATAATGATGATAATAATAACGAATGGATAGAGTATTTTCACAAAAAATATATTAACACCATGATGTTTTTATGGTTTTAACACAAACATCGAACACAGTCGGAATTAAATTTTTTTTCGATCCGATTGTCCACGTCAGTTGAAACACTTGTAAAGGTACTGGCTGTAGTGAAGAAGGTTCTAAAATCTCTCACTAGATGTCACAAGCGGCTCAGAAGGCCGAAAGATCCAGTACAAAAATCTTTAACAAAAACACATAGGCGAAATTCGACAACTTTATAACTTGACCCGTATCAGTTGGTTTTTTTATAACATCAAGTGACGGGACGAACAACTAATGCACCTGATGAGCTACACGCCTGCCTAATTAGTATGGACTAATTAAGTGCCACTCAGAGCTTTTAAATAGCAAAGGTCTGAGGGGCATTACCACTGCGCCCGTCACAGACATAAGTTGACGAGTCCCATGGACCTGTAATTTCACCAGCACCATTTACCTTTCAAAACCGGAACACAGTAATGCTGACATTACTGCTTGGCTGCAGAAGTAGGTAAGGTGGCAGTACTGTACCCTGGACGAACTCTTTCACAAGGAGCTCTACTGCTACTGAAATAAGAAGAGCAATACTTACAGTGCAATATGGTCGTGGATTCAAGTCCCATCGGGTCAAAAAAGTTTTGATAATCGTAATAAAAACTAGTGGAGTTATTTCATAAACAATCTGAATAATACACTATGATTTTAACATTGACTTACAATTATATGGACGTCGGGTCCGCGCTAAAAAGTGTCCGCACTTGTAAGGCGCTAAAATCGTATACAGAGCGCGACACTCCGCTTTAGTCTTCATTTGTTCTACGGACAGCGCGATACTGCGATGACATAACAATTTAAATTTCGAATAGGTTGACTTGGGACATTTTTTTCGTGGTTTTTGTATTAGACCCGTCGTCCATTTATTTGTAAGTCAATGGATTTTAATAAATAAAAAATTGCTACTAATCGGTAGGTTATTTACTAAAACAAAACAAACGTCACTTTTTACTTTCCACATTTGAAACTTTTAGTTGTGCCAGTGTGCAATATGTGGTCTCTTGCCACCGATTACTTTTCTCATAAGATTTTAGGCAGTTTTAAAAGTTTAAGTTTTGGCTTCCGGCCGTATGTACTCCACGACATCCGCAGACTTTGTACAGTAATGAAGTCGTGACACGTATAGCAACGTCGTCGGTACCGCTGGAGGCAATAGATGATTGGGGCCAGTCAGGGCGGTGTCATTAAGGTTACGGCTGGTGTACTTCTTTTTCTTTTCCATCTTTTTTGAAGCCGTCCTCCTCGCACTAGTCTACTCTCGGTGGTACTGACGACTCGCCTCCGTCCAGAGATGAATTTCTATTTTTCCGTCTTCCCCTTCGTTGGTTCCCTGGGTTGTGGTTGTGGAGCAATGAGTTGGGTAGCAGCGGCAACAGCAGCGTAATCACGTCGAGGGGTCAACGTGCTTGCGAGTGACTTCTCCGCCGTGGCGGAAAAACGAGAGGCGGGGCAAGGGGAAAGTATCTATCATGTATAAATATATTATAATAATAGTTTTTTTTTTACAGATATCGATCAACTTGTGACAATATCAGGCATGGTGATTCGCACGTCAAGCATAGTTCCCGAGATGCGTGAGGCATTTTTCAAGTGCGCCGTGTGTGGCGCGCCTGCCGTGGCCGAGCTTGAGAGAGGCCGTGTCCCTGAACCGTCCCACTGCGGCCATTGTAACACGGCCCATTGCTTCCAACTGGTGCATAATCGATCGCATTTTAGCGACAAACAGCTTGTAAAACTACAGGAGTCCCCTGGTGAATATTTCAATTAAATCTTCTTTGCACAAACTTAAACATAAACTTTGCCAGCTGGTGGCATGGTTTTTTAAATTTAATTTCTTAGTCTACTTTCATTTTAAATTACCAAAATTTTCCTTTCTCTCTCTTCTTCTTTCAAATAATTTTATTTTAATAACTTTTGCAAGTACATACATGTTTTAATTTGTGTACATTTAGGCTCTCTATATGAAGGCTCTCTGTTGTGCATATTTGATTATATACAATACATCAATCTGATTTGAGCACTAAATTTTGCAAACATAAAATAAATAAACAAGTAGGCGGAGATATTTTTGTGAAGTATACATACTTAATTTTTTCTTTAGGATTTGCATCTTCAGTTTGATAAAGTTGTTCTACCGGTATCAAATACGGAAACCTTACTTCGTCTAATAAAATTGTTTGTTGAAATCCAGTAAATCGATTATAATCAATAAGTGGTATGTCTTGTGTTCCAGATGACATGCCAGCTGGCCGTACTCCTGCTACAGTGTCAGTGATGGCGCACGGTGCTTTAGTTGAAGGCGTAGGTGCGGGCGAGCGCGTCAGTGTCACGGGCGTGTTCCGCGCCGCGCCCGCTTCGGTTCACCCGCGAAGGGCCACTTTAAAGGCCTTGCATAGGACTCATATTGATGCTCTGCATTACAAGAAAGTCCATAGCGATCGGTTGCTCGAAATTGAGGAAGGGTAAGTAGCAGTTAGTATGCTTATTTCGTACCCTCTTACCCAAAGCCACACACGATCATATGTCAAAAGTGCTTCTAATCACAATGGAAGTAAATTAATTTGCTATTCCGCGAACCCACTGAACGGAATATCGAGTAAGGCTGTTAACAAATTGACGGTATGTTTGCAGTCAATGCGTGAAGTCGTGTAGCCGTAACCGCGACTGCATGTTGATAACGACTTCACGCATTAACTGCATGCAGTCGATCTCGGTATATACCGGGTGTAACAGAAAGGTGTGGTCATATTAAAGGACCCAAATGTACACTTGATTTAGACCCTGTGTGCAAAATATCAAATAAAAATAAGTGACTTTTAATGTTGATATAAGTTTAATTATGTTTGTATAAATAGTGATTGTCCGAAACAACCACTGCGTCACAACTCTATTGCTAGCTTCGTTACTACGACTTCACAAATTCATTCATGAAACCTGGGCGGGGCGAAAGAACAGCTGACTACAATTGAAATGCCATTGTAAAAACATGATTTCAATATGTTGATAATACGTTAATATTAAGTAACAAAATCTTTAAATACCTAGAAAAATCGAATTATTTCTAATAATATTATTTTATGCCATACCTAGGTACGCGTACGTACTTATTTACATACAATTTAAAAAATATTTATTTACTTATTAAGCCCGTAGTTACGCACGCCTTCATCGTATACACATTCTACATAGTTTAGTATTAATACATTTATTTACGACAATTTTACAATAGTGGATACTTTTTTAATTGGTACTTACCTACTGTTCAATTCATACACGTTTTAATGAATTTCCTACGAATTGTAATTCACTGTTGTACAATGTACGAAATATTGACTTGTTTACGATAATTTTGAATAATAAGTACAATCAATGCACGCACTGCTGGAACATTTCACACATTTACAGGTAAGGTTCAAAATGCCGACCTCCATGCAATATGCATATTTCCGTGCGTCGGTACAGAGACTGCTCTACTCTTTGAAGCATCTGCCGAGTGATTTGACTAAATGCCATTTCGATCCGCTGCCTCATTTCTTCTGCGCTTTCACAGGACTCCGCATAAACAATATTTTTTATATGACCCCATAAAAAAAAATCGAGCGGTGTCAAGTCTGGGGACCGCGCTGGCCAGGGTACAGGACCTCCCCGCCCAATCCACTGCGGGAAACGGTCGTTCAGATGGGAACGTACATTTCGAGCAAAATGTGCGGGTGCTCCATCGTGCTGGAAAGTCATCCTGTGTTCCATCACGAGTCTCACGTATTGTGTCACTGGCAGGGCCATCAGAACGTCATCCAAATCTTCTGTTAGGAATCTTAAATAATTGGCCCCATTCAGACTTGCCGGCAAAAACACTGGACCGATGACGGCACAACCTATTATACCAGCCCACACGTTAATCCGCCACTGGTGTTGAAAATTTGATTCCCTTGATACGCGGGGATTCAAATGAGTCCAAAAATGTTCATTATGCATATTGATAATGCCCGCACGCGTAAATGACGCCTCGTCTGTCCACAGTACCGACGAAGCGAAGTCGGGAGACCTCCCAATCTGGTCGCGGTACCAGCGGCAAAATGCCAAACGTGGATCATAGTCCGCTTGTAACAGCTCCTGCGTTGTTTGAAAATGGTATGGGTGCTGGCCATCATCCCGTAGCACACGCCACACACTCATATGGTTCACACCACCAAAGGCTGCCGCAGCACGACGAGTACTTGTCTTTGGATTGCCGAGAAAATGTTCCAAAACATCTGCCTCGAATTCTGGGTCTCGTGAACTCGGCCGGCCTTCAGAACTGGAACCACGGAACGATCCACTATTATGAAGTCTCATAACCATCTTCCTGAAGCATTCCAGAGTAGGAAATGGTCGACGTCGATTTTCTGGGACGCCATCAATAAACTTTGCCCAATACATTTGGCGAGTCTGGCGCAAGCTCCCATCGGCTGCGCCTACGCACAACATCATCTCATAGTAATCACTATTGCTTAAGCGTGACATAGTTTAAATAAACACAAAAACGAGACACAAACAAAACGATGACACCTATTTAGTCCTCACAACGCAAACGGCAATTACAGACTGTTACAAAAAATAAAAAAATAGTGCCTCTGCCTTAGCGGCGGCACATCAAAGGACGCCGACTGAAACGCAAATTTTGGAATATAGGGTAACGTTTTCATAATGTACCGACAGGATGAAATTAAAATTATTACCATCCTTTTAAAATAAGACCCTTCTCATGATACAAATTACATCATTACATACACATTAAACGAATACCTATATCCTACGTATCTACGACCTTCAACGTTGCACTGCATACGTCTTTGTTTGTAAACATAACTCTGACCATCACCCGTACCACTTCCACACAACGCAAGAACTGACTGGGTGATTACGGATATACTGCACTAAGGAGGCAGTCACCCATCGGAAACCCACGACATCCGAAACGAAAGCCTAACACACTAACCACTACACCACCATGGAGGCAGTCAACTATGGGAATCAAATCCACGACCGCCGAAACGAAAGCCTAACACTCTAACCTACACCATAGAGCCAGTCAACTATGACATTCGAATCCACGACCTCCGAAACGAGTCTAACATTAATTCACTACTCCACATCACGATGTATAAAATCAAAATGCTGGCGGCGAAAATCAAAGGTGATATTTTTGCCGCCAAAGTTGCCGCCAAAGGCTTGTGACTTCGCTACGATTACGTATCGCGTACGCAAGGCGACTAATCTTGATACTTTGTTTATTTAGGTAAGATTTTTTATGGTTTTACACTATTGCTAATTTAAACTATTCTAAAATATTTCTTTAGATGAGTAGATATTATTAGGAAGTAAGAACCTTAATAGGTTCAACGGATGTTAATTATTTCAATTTCACCATGTAATAAACCCATACACAGAAAGTTGTCGTGTGTAGATAAGTCAAATTAAGCGTAAACCTGTTGTTAGAAACGTGTGCTCAGCAATAGACGTATGTAAGTTAGTAAAGTACTATTTTTTGCACAAGGTTTAGTCCACTACACTTGCATAGTAAGTAATGGTTGGAGACTTGACATTCTCGCATCTTTGAAGATTTCGGCAATTATCTCCGAAATCCAAGTTTTCTCACGATATTTTCATTTCCAAGCAAGTGATGAAAATTATAATAATTAATTCGTAGTCAACGATCAAAACTAATTTCTTGACGTTTGCCGACCTTCAGGTTGCACCTTTACGATGAAAGTGTCCCAATACAAAATTTCAACTTTTTGGGAATACGCAAAATAAGATTCAAGTTGTGACATTTTCATATTATTTTATTTATTACTCTTGAAGTACTAAAGGTGATGGCCTTATTAGTCTTTGAAAATAATGAGGAAAAATGGAACTTTACAACTGAAAATTGTTTCTGATCATTTTAATGTTCAACAATTTAAAAACATAATTTACAAAAACTAGTCGCCAATAGGTCTTTTTTTAACGATTTTTTTGTTATCATTCAACGTATTAAGAATTAAGTCTTTTTAATGTTCATCAGCTACGCAAGATGTCATAACCCTTGATATTGTTTTGTGATCCCTGTTTCACAATTAAAAAAGAAGAAAGTCCACGAAACAAAAAAGTCAGTCCCTTTAAAAAGTAAGTTACTAAAAAAATATATTTTTTTTAAATATTAAGCGACGGGTCGAACAAGTCGTGTACCCGGTGGAAAGCGTCACGCCTGTCCATAACAGTAGCACTGCCGCTCGGAGGCTACTGCTACGGCGTTCATCTCTCTGAGACATAGTTGACAAGTCCCATGTGCCTGTAATTTCACCAGCACCCTTACCCTTCAAAACTGTAACACGGTAAAGTGGCAGTACTACCCTGGACGAACTCACAAGGAGCTCTACTGCTACTAGATTTTTTTTCGACGATTTTTGAATATGATTTTCGGAACGAAAATGGCTCAAATGCTAATCCGTCAGTGGCAGCGTGTTGTCTTTGCAAATGCAGATTCAACAATAAATGCGGCGTTAATATCTCGACGCGGGAGTAGAATTTTTAAACTGAAAGAACAAAATGAAAGGGACCTTTATGAATCAGTGCTATTCGAGCTTTAATTGCACAATTTCATCTTCACCACAGTGTGACTAATGTAACAAAATATTTTTTTAAGATGGTTTTACGGTATAAACTCATTTTTAAATTTTTTGATTTGGGTCACTTTCATTGTAAGGGTGCGAAGTATTAGTCGGATAATTGCGTCATATTGCGTCATGCGTTAGAAGAAACATACCAACTGATTCGGTAGCCGCCATGCGTTAGAACAGTACCGGCGCGGCGGATAGAAAGAGACAAATTTCATTCATTAAAATACAATAGATGAATGCGTATTATTACATATGATATGGTAAAAAGAAACAGAGATAACTTTAAATATGTGTTTTTTAGAGGACATTAGTTTTATTAATGGATATTAAACGGAAATTTGTGTATTTTGTATGTTTGAAGATATGAAGATAACGAAACCATATTACGTTATTATGTACTAAGTTTTAAATAATAGTTTTATTATGAAGTAGTGTATTTTGGCAAAGTAATCGATAATATTTATTTTTCATTAAATGTTCACACGCATATTACATGAATAAAATAATAATAAATTTAGTAAATTATAACATAGTAATAAGAATATGGCATTAAGTACTTTATCATTTACAATAATATGCCTGAATTTCACAATTTTTTCAAGTTACGTAATTTGGTTGTATTATGATACTCAATAGAGATGTGATGTGACTATTTATTTTCGTTAAATGACATCAGCTGATCGAAACTGTTCATGGCGAAATTTCCACAAATAACGTAGTGTGTACTAAAACAACTTTGCTAACTAGTTTCATACCATTAACTGAATCCGACCTTCAAATATGACCACACCTTTCTGTTACACCCTGTATATATATCGGTATATAATACAAAGTTAAGTATAAATATGGTAAGTTAATGTCGCGATTTTGTTCGGCATCCTTAGAATAGTAATTTGAGATATGCAAAAGTGGTGCAACCAAAGTATATCATTATAAGTACACTACATAATAATTATTAATAAACTCATATACATAGATATATTCATACAAATATTATGAATACATCACAATACATAAATAAGAATATTAAATACTTATGTACTTTTAAAGAAAAAATAGAAAGTTACGTTTAAGTATAGTAAATAAATAAAAAAACGATAGTGGAGAAAAGATGAAACTTAGGAGTTGAAGAAGTTTTTTTATTTATTTAACATCAAGTCGGCACTAACGAGTCGTGCGCCTGATGATAAGCTACACGCCTGTCCATAACAGTTGCAGTGCCACTCAGAGCTTTAAATTGCAAAGATCTGAGGGGCTGCGCCCGTCACCCCGAGACATAAGTTGACAAGACCCATGTGCCTGTAAGTTTACCAGCACCCTTACCCTTCAAAACCGGAACGCAGTAATACTAACATTACTACTTGGCGGTAGAAATAGGTAAGGTCACAGTACTTCCCTCTACGAACTCTTTCACAACTTTCAAAACTTGTCAAGACACTTGTGATCCTTGACACGTTGTTTGAAGGAATCAAGAAAAATAAATGGATTTTTTATTGAATATTTGTTTCATGCATTTTAACGCATTAAATTAATAAAATATATAACCCAAGCGCAACTACAATCACAAATACCACCACCACAAATATAGCCAACACGTGTTTCGCCTATCTCCGAGGCATCCCAAGAGGTTTTTGATTGTTTGACTCTTAACATTTATTTCCATTTTTATTAATAAATCAATCCATTCGCAAAAGGACGCTTGAATCTATTAATTTTTTAAAGTGCTTTTATCACATGAAAGTCATATAAATCTTTAGGTAGGTAAACATGCAATTATGCTTAAAATGAAATGTACATACAAAAACGTTATTTAATCTATGGTCGAATTCAATCAATTGCATTGTGTTCTTGCATCTATTCCAAAATACATTGTTTTACAATTTCTTTATTCCCGACTTCTAAAAATATACAAAAATATATTAATAACTAGGCATAAACTAAAACGTAAAAGTATATTAACAAAGTCTATGAACAGCTCTTCGTTGATTTTAGGTCCGCTTTCGCCATCCTTTTTTTATAACGCTTTTATTTAAGTATGAAAAAGTTATCGACTAATTCATTCGTAGAATCTTTAAAACTCTCTCCTAAAGAGCTGTCATTTTGCAGATGTGGCTTTATTACTCCAAAGGTGCAACTTGGTACTATTTATTTCTCTCATTACACTTTTAATTTACAAAAGTGTTTCATATTTCAGCAAAGAGCACCGTTTTCCGCCTGAACGCATAGAGTTGTTCAAGGAATTGGCAAAACAACCTGACTGCTATGAACGCCTAGCGCGCGCCATCGCCCCTGCTGTTTATGAAAACTTAGACATCAAGAAAGGCGTATTGCTACAACTGCTTGGTGGTACTAAAAAGAATTTCAATGCGGCTGGCAGAACTCATTTCAGGTAGATTTTGTTAACTATAATTAGGTCATCTCCAATAGCTCAATGCGTGTTGGGATTTGTATGAAATTCCGTCGATGAAGAATATTGAGATAGTTTTGTGAGTTTTCCTTCAACATAGTTTATATTCCAAATTGCTATTGAGTTCGAAGCATTTAAAAATGGCACATAACTTGGATTCCACATTCCATTTAACATCAGATAGAGTGGAGTTATCAGTTTTAAGTGTAGGCAAAAAAACATTTACTAGTAGTTATAAGTACCGAGATTTCAATTTCAATTTTTCAATTTCAAATTCAAGGATTTCAATGATTAAACTTGTAGCCCAGTTTGGGGTTAGGATTAGGCCTTGTGCAAATGGTTTCAATACTAGTCTTATTTAATAGTAGCCCAACTGGCAACTCATTTGCCGTCCACATAACTGAATCTTTAATTGACCGTAAACCTTATCACTTTGCACCGTCTTTAGGTCCGAGATAAACATCTTACTGTGCGGTGACCCGGGCACGAGCAAATCGCAACTCCTGCGCTGGGTGCACGGACTGGTGCCGCGCGCGCAGTACACGTCGGGCCGCGGCTCCTCAGCCGTCGGCCTTACCGCCTACGTCACCAAGGACCCGGATACAAGACAGCTCATTTTACAAACGTTAGTTCAATATATCGCGTGAAACCGACAAAATAAAGTGGTACCGAGTGTTTCCGATTACCATAACACAAGCTTTAGTAGATACTAGCTTTAGGTTTAAGGCAAAACGTATATGATGTTGTGTAATATACATACAAATAGCAATCGACAAAATAATCGAAACCGCACATTACTAACACTTACGTGGACGATTTCAATGCCTCTACCATAAGTTTTCAGTGACAGTTGTAGAAACCGTACTGCACAATTTTGTATGGCAATTGTAGAGCTCCCCTAGCGGCCACAAAAAGTCACCATTTGTACACAAATGTTTTACGCAGTCATTAGCGAGAACGAACACTGTTAATCGTGATAGGTACCCAGTTATTAATTACTGTTGCGATATCAATAAAAAATATTTTGCAGTGGCGCTCTGGTCCTGGCCGACAATGGAATCTGTTGCATCGATGAGTTCGACAAGATGAATGACTCAACTCGCAGTGTACTACACGAGGTGAGCGTGACATGAAATCCTGTTAATTTCAAAATTTCCATAACGAATACGGTTGAATAAATACGTGTACGGACGCGTCGTTAAAGTTGCGTGTCGTTTAAAACCTATTGTTTCTATGTCAGAACTCATATTCGAAAAAGACGTGAGTTTTCTTACGAGTGGAGAAAAAACAAAACCGAAGAAATAATGCAGCTTTTAAAAAATAAACAACGTGCCTTAAAAAATTTTAATTTCGAATTTCAAATCAGACTGCATCTCAGTTCTAAGTGGTCAGTTCGACATATTAAAACACACACGATAGTTTAAAAAATGCGAGAAATCTTTACAGTTTTAAATTTATTTAAAAAAAACAGTTTGTTTCTGTAATAATCTGTGTAGGTTCTCTGTCGTTGTAGATTTGTAGATTCTCCTCTCAGTGAATTCTTAAGTTAAAACGCGTGCGTGACTCAGCTCGACATTGGCGAAATCATCGATTACTTCGATGGGGCCATAACATTTAAAAGAAAAACAAGAAGAAAACTCACCGAAACTGACTTTATCTTTTCAAGGTGATGGAACAACAAACGCTGTCAGTGGCAAAAGCTGGTATCATCTGTCAATTAAATGCGCGTACGTCGATATTAGCAGCGGCAAACCCCGCGGAATCGCAATGGAACAAGAATAAGACTATCGTCGAGAACGTACAGTTGCCTCATACACTTATGTCCAGGTACTTTTTGTATCCCCTTGACCATGTACAAGAGTTTATTGACATAAACACTGCAAAGAGCGATTGTTCACTTTAGAATTATGTAATATATAACGTATAAGAGCTTTAGCCGGTTTTAAGCTTTCAAGTTCATTCGAGCTGAAGCCAAAAGCACATCGTCTTTCTCGCTGGTAACTCTTTACTATATACAGAGTGTGACTAGCAACGCAATGAAATCAACTCTCATTTAGTTGCGAAGTTAGCTTGAAATAATATGATCTTAGATAAGCTCCGTTGAATAATTGCCTCCGTGGCCTAACGGTTACCATGACTGCCACGCAGAAATATTTGTATAGCCTACATTTATTTCTCTCGTGAGTTTGGGTGTCATTAGTGGTTGACTATATGTGTCCATAGCACCCGCGACACAAAGTTTCCCTACTGCGAGACAGGGTTGAGTGGTGTGTTCTTATTTAAAAAAAAACTAAAAAAAATTATAGTATGAAGAACTTAGCCAGACAACCCTATACGTAACAAAGTAATGTGTGTGTGTAATAATACAATATGTTCTAGTATTTGTGAATCTAGATGCATTCTGTTATTCCAGATTTGACCTAATATTCTTGGTGCTGGATCCTCAAGACGAAGTTTTTGATAGACGGCTTGCGTCTCATCTTGTCTCACTTTATTATAAAGACTACACAAACTCGCAGGATGACCAGGATATTGTGGTATGTTACATCACATGGTATGACCAGTACAGTATAGTATTTGATACAACAATGCAATCCAACCACAGTATATTATATCTGTCGTTTTTGATGACGGAGCAAAGTGACAGTTCATTGCGCAAGTGTTGCCCGCTCGCGAGCAGCTGGGTGATTGCAATCGATAAATGTTCTATCGACTGAATAAAGATCACGCTGTTTTATTATTCATTTCAATCATCCTTGACCCATAATTCATCAAATTACTGGGCATAAGTTCATTTGAATTGTCAATTTTTGTAAGTTTATACATGCATACACTGTATTTAGATCTATGTTTATGAAAAATACTAAGATAAGAGCAGACACATAATCAAATCCGGCTATTCTTGTTAAAATGTATATGAATAAAAATTGATCTCGATACTAGTAGGCCAACTGTAAAAATAAGAATAAAGTAGGCTAAACGCAATTAGTAAACATTAGAACGTCGTAACATTCACAATGCAGTCATTTTTGGTAAAATTTTACCTTCTTTCAAAATCTATCGATAAAACTATCGACAACAACTACATGACTATTTAACATTTTGTGAAACTGGCAACCCTAGAAATGTCATCTCAAACTGCCTCCGTGGCCGACTGCCACGCAGAGGTCCCAGGTTCGATTCCCGGACCGGAAGAAATATTTGTATAGCCTACATTTATTTCTCTCGTGAGTTTGGTTGTAATTTGTGGTTGTCTGTGTCCATGGCACCCGCGACACAGGGTTTCCCTAGTGCGGGGCTAGTTGAGTATGTACGTTACGTTATTGAAACCAGCTGGGGCCTTACCGTGCAGTCTTATTACGATTTCAGTTTAGGACCTAAAATTAATCATTGTGAGACAGCGCTACATGAAGTGTATATCAACCATCCCACTGTCATTTTACTCCGTCTTCAAAAAAGACAGATTATAGATATTAGATAATAGATTTTTGATAATAGATATTTGCTCTTGTTTCAGGATATGAGCCTTATGCGTGATTACATCGCATTCGCCAAGGAACACGTGCAGCCAAAGCTAAGTGAAACAGCACAGCAGAGACTCATAGATGCTTACGTAGACATGAGGTAAGTAGACATCGAAATATCGCTTTGTACCATAATATGTACCATAATATCGCTTTGTACCGTAATATCTGACATTCAAGGCGATAAATAAATTATATATATATATATGACCCTATTATCTAGATAGTAGTGCAATTTGTACCGTACCATAACTATTCCCAGCTTTACAAATAAATTGCATTTTTCAGACGTGTAGGCAGCGGGCGCGGTCAAATATCAGCATATCCTCGGCAGTTGGAGTCACTGATTCGCTTGGCCGAAGCTCATGCCAGAATGCGCCTATCCCCCGTTGTTGATATAAAGGATGTCGATGAAGCAGCCAGGTAAAAAAGTTATAACCTTATTTGGCACCCAAGCTTATTATTGGCGCCCAACGTGGGACTTACAACAACACCAAAACTAAGCTGTAATAATTTCTTATCATTGTTATACCTAATCATTGTAATACTTCATTTCTTATCATTGTAATACCTCATCTGCAAATCAATTAATTAGTTTTTGCATCTTCATATTTCGTGAGTTATAGCGAACTTTTTCCGCAATGAAGGAACTAATCAAATGCCTCAATTACAGGTTACACCGTGAAGCTCTAAAGCAGTCGGCAACAGACCCAGCATCCGGTCGCATCGACGTGGGCATCCTCACAACTGGTTTGGGCGCGGCCGCGCGAAGGCGTCGGGCTGACCTCGTCAAGGCCCTCAAGGAACTCATCCAGCCTTACTCCAAGCCACATACGATTACGCATAACAAGCTGTTGCAGGAAGTTAATGCTACCTCGCAGATTGTAAGCATTTTTACGAAATAAAATTATTTACGTATAATGTGCTATCGCGTAATAAATGCCTGAAGAAAGTTCATGGTAAACTAGAATCAAATTAGCGGGATGTAGATTAATTAATAATAATAATAACGCTCACACTCAACATAGCCCCGCACTAGGGAAACCCTGTGTCGCGGGTGCCATGGACACACACATAGACAACCACAAATTACACCCAAACTCACGAGAGAAATAAATGTAGGCCATACAAATATTTCTCCCGGCCCGGGAATCGAACCTGGGACCTCTGCGTGGCAGTCCGGCATGGTAACCGTTCGGCCACGGAGGCAGTTAAATAAAATTGATATACTCATTGACCTTTTTTTTTTTTGACGGGGGGAAATCTTTATGGATACCCCTGAGCCCAGGGAGACTCAGGGGTTATGTGGGGACTCTCCCTCCACACTGGAAGGCCTACCCCACTAAAACCCCCCCGGGTTTCCCTCTCGCCGGTTGAGTCGGCGCCGTGGGATCAGTGAACATCACCACGACGTATACTCATTGACCTACCAACAAATGGACGTCGGGTCTAATACAAAAACCAAGAAAAAAAGTCCGAAGTTGACCTATACAAACGTAGTGACAAGTAAGGAAATGTAAAAAAAAAAAACTAAAACATTTAATTGAAATTGTAAGGTCATTGCAGTACTGCAACAATTAAAGGGCCCAAAAACACCATATTCAGCTTCTACTGGAAACTTAACAAAATGCACCATATTTCTTCTTAACAAAATGCACCATGTGCTTTGAAGTGAAAATTACTCGAACACAAAAGTAATGGAGTAGCCTTTATCGTAAATATTAATTAACTTTTATATACATATATTATTATGTACGAGTTGTACAAATTCACTTAAAGAAATAATTAAGAGTTGGGCAGATACATACATACAAATATTACTACAACTGTGAAAATAAGCGTGTACTATAAGAAATGTACCGATATTCCAACTAACCGTAAACTCAATTATCCGTAATTCCGAAAACCGATTTATAACAAAAGCTTTCGAGTAATTTTGATGCTTTTCACAAAGACAAAAGTAGCTTTTGTTTTATAATCTTCCTAAAAAAATACATTTGACATTATGAAGCTAACGTTATTTCGGGCAAATGTATTTTCTGACTTCTGATAGGTAATCCCAAGCCGTAAAACGAGTACAACAATATTTTGTTAGTTATTGCTAACTTTTGATTATTTTGTGTGCTTTTGTAATTTATATTTACGATTAATTTATATGTAAATTAAATACTATAAAACTGTACAAAATAACACTTTTAAATGAGAGCTATGATAAAACAATACATTTGTTTTTTACACTTTACTGCAGCAATTTTTACAAGTTATTATTATATTGGTACTGCATGATTGACAACCGCGCTGTCAGTCGAACAAACGAAGACTGTTGCGCGATTGATCTGTATGCGATTTTAACGCCCTATGGGTGCGGACACTTTTTAGCGCGAACCCGAAGTCCATTTATTGGTAGGTCAATGGATATACTACAGAAAAAAAAATGACTTTGAAGGGAGTGTATGTATGCATCTTAGACTATTTTTTTTTCCATCCTCTAAAGTATGCATACAGATGAAGAGTTGACGTGAACATTGACCATTGGTAATATTACTTAGACATAAACATTTTTCCTAAATTTTTGCACATTTGACAGTGACACCTGTCAAAAGTTGAAGATACTGAACTCCATTTCGAAAATTTGTGAAAATCAATCAAGCCAAACATGATTTAGAAAAGTACATTTAGTAATGTATAATACAATTTTATTATATAATTCATGCTAAATAAAACTTCAAAAGATATATCTAAACATAGAACATAATAATATGAGTATTATATTTTTCTGAAAAACTTCCACTATTTTAAATTTTTCGGAAAATTACCCAACACTACATACATACTGTCTGTCTGTAATTATAATTTGACAACGTTTTTCAGACGATATCACGGGACCAACTGGATGAAGCGTTACGCGACCTGCAGGATGAAGGCAAAGTGGTAATTGTCAGCTCCACGCACATACGGCTTTGCTGAGTTGTCTATTTTTTTTACGCTTTTTGTCAAAAGTGATGATAGTATTTCGAAGTTGGAATACATGGTACGCCCCTAGGAACAATAGGTTGCAGGCAGCTGAAGATCCTATACTGTGGGACAAAATTAATAATAAACTACGGTCGAGGCTACGGTATCTACTGGTGAGGCGCCTATGTTCAGCAGTAGAAAGTGTAATCATCCCTCTAACGATAGTGGATGGTTAAAAAATTGAATTCTGTCATTGTGATGTCCATCCGAAGAGGTACTTTCATAACCTAACCTCTGGTTTAAAAAACCCAAAAAGTCATTCATCCCCTAGGTTGCCACCCTTAGAGGTGGAATATTTTCATGAAATTTAAATGGGACCACATCTGAGGTACCTTCTGTCCAACAAAAAAAGAATCATCAAAATTGGTTCACAAATGGCGGAGTTATCGCGTAACATACATAAAAAAAACACAAATTGAGAACCTCCTCCTTTTTTTGAAGTCGGTTAAAAAATAACTACCTTGCTGCTGCCTAGTCGTTGGCGATTTAGATCAGAATTAATCGGCAATATACGTCGAAACTGATATTGGCCCAAGAAAAAAAAAACTCCACATATACCACCACGCCTGTCTCCCAGAGGAGTAGGCACAGATGAACTCCTCGCTATGCTTCTGACAAACTTTTTCGACTCCACTGAAATCCAATGCCCGTTCTAACCCAAGTAGCGCCCGGTTGCAATTAATACCCTAGCGCCCTCTAGTGGTCGCGTGATAAAACCGTCCACACTTTTTGTCGCGAATTCCGGTACGTTGAAATTTCATAAATGTGGTTTTAAGTAAAGCCGGCACTGCTCGCATCAGTCTCTTCATACGTGATCGTTTATTCCAAAACTATCAGTACTTTGCAAAAGGCGTAAAAGAATCAACACCCCTCATGGGTTTTATTTTTCTGTATCTAATGGAGCAATAAACATTTTGACGTAATAACACTTATGCCATTCTTCCACGAGGGGTACGACGTGTTGATATTATAACTAGGTTAAGTTTAGTTTTTAAGTTTTAACTTTTGATTATTAAATGTCAATTATATTATTATTTGTTCTTCTTTGGCTAACGACGTTCCTTAGCTTCAACAAGTTCTTGAGGTATTAAGTGTGATTTGACCCAAGGTCTCCTGATAATAGACTCATTATCGGCATCTTGAATGAAACTATACTAGTATCATTGGCTAAGAGAGAGATCCAGAGGGCTGATCGATTTGGACTTGGTAATAAATAACCTTGAGCACAGGCTTAATAATAAGCTGAAATAGTGCAAATTCTCGAATAATGCGCAATAATCAATCAACAATTTTTATCATGTGATCGGTTGTCTTCATATCCATCCATCCCGTATTTATTAAATACGGTCGTGAACTATACACATAAATATTTGCTTATAGGCAATAAAATACTTTTTAGCCTCTAATATGTAGCTGTTAAGGGAGGAAAACTGAAAATAACTAAAAACAAGACTAGTTCTTTTCGCATAAATAACTTTATTTACATCCTAACTAAATCATTACGTGTTTCAAAAAGTCAAGCCAACAACAAGCCAATCTACTTCATTGAATGAAAGCTAAACAAACAAATTATGCCCATTCAATTTTACAAAATATTTTCTTTTGCATTTACATAATTCTTAAGAGTGTGTGCATATTTATTTGAAATCACTTTTTCGTTCCCATGATTTGTGCATTTCTAATTGTGTGTAAATATCAGTGGCGAAGAGTGCATATTCACAAATGTGAGGCCGGAAAGGCAGTTCTACATCAATATTATATTGCGTCGGCCACTAATAACCAACAAAAATTTCGAAAGTCACCAGATAATCCCTGATACAATTATTTCCAAAGACACGCATAAAAATTCATTATTACTAACATTTGAAAACGGGAATAAACGCGTTTACATACGAATAGGTATTTTTCAGTCAGTCAGGCTGACTCAGCCCGTGACCACGGCCGGTGCAACCTGGCCGAAACGTCAGGAAACTAGGTAGGTGTGAAAAATACCTATTCGTATGTAAACGCGTTTATTCCCGTTTCCAAATGTTAGTACAATGCAATTCATTATTATTTTCACCGAAAACAATAGTATACCACCAAAACTATAAAGACAATCTACCTTTCTTGCTTGCACCTATGGATTGGTAATTATTCTTTCCCTCGTAAATCTCGATTCAAGTCTAACTCAAATTAATCTATTACACAGGTTAGCAATTACACTTGTAATCGTCACACTGATTAAACTCTACTATTACTAATTTTGTATCACCACTGATGGTAATGTATGCGGTGGGGTTTAAGATCCCAGTCCATCTTGTTGGGGCACTGGCGTGTTTGATAAGTGGATTAACAAAAGTTGATGTGAACTACGCGTCAGTGTTGGTAATAATTACAGCTCGTTTATGTTTCGTTCACATTGAATTTTGTAAATTTTTATTCTCGTCATAGATGGTATTGTCCATACAAATATTTTATAGTATATTGAAGCGTCATCGACCAGCACGTTATTGAACCATCTGGTTCAGAGCTGTCGCTCGAACTTCAAGAGAGAAGACTAGTATCACACCAATTTTCAAACGTATCCAAAAAAAATATGTATCCAAGGATTGTTTCAATAAAATTAATTGAGAATTTAACTTTATACCTCTCATAATACTCTGTCATTTGCAAATTGTAAAAACCTTTGTGTGCAGGAATAGCAAAGTGCTGTAAATACATGTTTTTGGAATAGACCTTACGGCCCGCCACCCGTGCCCATTTGTAAAGTAAAAAACTTACAAACGAAAAAGCATACTACTTACAGAGTCACTAGTAAAATATATCTTAAAAAATGCACAAATCATGTAAAGTATAAACAAAAAATAATGTTAATAGTTTCACACTATATACATTTCAAACTCGAGATGGGATTTACTCATAATTAACAATTGATAATATACTCATGGTCATAGAGAAACGTAGAGTTACGATAACAACGTTCTTGTATGTGGCCAGCGGTTCATATGAACATTGCTATCATAAACAACTTTAATCGAAATCATAAGACGATTGAAGCCAAACTTTTTCTTAAATGAAACGTTCTTGTATGTGGCCAGTGGTTCATATGAACATTGTTATCACAAAAAACGTTTAATCGAAATCAAGACGGTTGAAGTCAAACTTTTTTGAAATTAAACGTTCTTGTATGTAGCCAATGGTTCATATGAACATTGTTATCATAAAGAACGTTTAATTTAAATCAAAAGTCGATTGAAGCAATTCTTTTATCAAATTAAATGTTCTTGTATGTGGCCAATTGTTCATATAACGTTGTTATCATAAATAACGTTTAATCGAAATTAAAGGACCACTGAAGTCATTATTTTTTCTAAATTAAACGTTCTGGTATATGTGGCCAATATGAACATTGTTATCATAATTCAACCTTTTTTTAACGTTCCTGTAAATACAAGTGTATTAAGTTACTCAACATGTTTACCCGTACCCTGTAAATAAATATGGAATATGATATACTGTACAATAATAAAATTCTTTGTTATTTTAATAAACAATCATAGAGAACTGAAATGGCACTAGCAGATTATTTGGTTTCGGTAAACTTATAATCGAGATATCATATAATTTTAGCTGCAAAGAATACTGAATATAAAATACATATCGTAAATAATTTTGATTGTTGAATTAACGGCCAAAAAAATAATTAATGTTTGAGCCCTTCATAATGGGTTGGAGTTAAAATTGTCCCCGAATTTACAATGCAAGAACGCTTAAACTATTATTTTGCGATGCTTGTTGCTGCATCTACTATTCACTGTCCTTTGTGGTATAAGTTTTTATGCTCGTATACGAGTTTCCACAACAGTACCCCACGAAAGATATTTTTGAAAATCTATTTTGGCTTCAATGCCTTTCGCTGTTACGAAATTAACTAATTTTTTTTATAATAATTTGTTTTTTGTTAGTTATTTTTAACTCCCGACGCAAAAAGGACTTATAGAGATCATGGCCCACCAAAGTATAAAAACTAAACCCACGGCGTACAGAAATTACATGGCTAGGTTCATAGAAAAATATGTGTACTTTACAACGGTATGTGTCGCTTTATTGCGGGTACTGGGAATTATGGAATAAAAAAAAATATTTTTATATAAAAAATGTATGTTAGTGCAAAATATTTATGTGTTTTGTATATAAATGATATTTACTCTGACAGGAAGTCAATGAAACGTAATGTAGGGCTTCCACACAATTAAAATATGTTAAATATCTAATCTTTATTACCCTGTTACATGTTAACCCCGTAGATTTTCAATATTTTTTACATAAAATAAAAAGTGGTTTAAAACAGCATAATTTAAAACTGATGTGGTTTTTGTACACAAACATCTATTAACCGGGTCAGATTATGGGCCATGATCTTTGGTCTACGGAAACGGCATCGCAGCTGCTAAACATCTGTAGTGATCTCAAAGCTGTTTTTTTTTTATTTGAAGGCTTATTTCATCAGATTGGTTCTTAGCTATAGTATAGTTGATAAATATTTGTTCAGCTGCTTAAAGATAATCATCTCTCGGTTGGTGTGGTTATCTCAGTCATAATTTTTTTTCGATTCATAAAACTGGATATAATTGCAAAATAAGGTAAGGTTTGTTTACATTATGATACCACAAGAATGTGCTGTTTTAGATGTGAGCCATTAAAATTAAAACAAAAGTATTAAAACTAAAGTATAATATTAAAATATTAGTAATTAAAACAAATATTAATTAAATTACAGTAACTAGAATCTAGTATCTGTAATATTTTGAGGTACTATATATTTAATTTCCTTCTAATATAGATTACATTCCGGGTTGGGATTTGCAATTAATTTAGTTTTTGAATGAAACAGTAAATCATTTCATATAGATTTAATTTCCACTTGTCCAACCGATTTGAAATTGATATACTGTGGAAATCCGATGACATTACAATAATATGGTAACCATGATCTGATACTGTAAACAGGACATTCTGCAGACTCCCCAACTCCTAAACTACTTACTGACAGTAGAACTATCGAGGTTGGGCACATTAAATTTATCTCCACGAGTTGTTACCTTACGGATGGTGACATTATTCAACTTTTTTAAGTATACTGTTTTGCATCGGGGTGTATTTTTCAATTTTAGTTTAATCATGTCTATAGCTTATATAAGTGTGACAATTAAATTAGGACAAATTAACTATTACTTAATTCATAGTTTGTACGCAACATTGAAAAGCACATCGAAACTTGACATACTAATACCAACAACAAAATTAATCCGTCGTTTAATTTCAAACTATAAAACTATTACTTCTAACGTAACCGCTTATACGTAACAACAAATGTTAAACACTGAAAATCGTCAACGCAGGTACAAGTAAATACTATCTTAAAACCACTGAAGTAAGCTCCGTTTGAACCATTTAACTAGGAACTTAATTTTGAACGAATAACTCGCAAAAAAAACTTGACATTTAATCAAATCACCCTTTTGTTACTTAACGACTGTATCCCAAATTTTTATGCTAAGTCAACAGCAAAAATAGCTGGATAATTTTGAATTCCTTACTGCTATAACACCTCTATCAAAGTGTATATAAATATTTGTGTATAAAAAGTGTATTGTCTTAAATTTATGTGCAGCTTTCACGTCGCCATTGCGCTTATCTGTTTGGACGTATAAATGTTGTAGTTTAATATTTTACCAGTAAAAACTTTAGAATTTTTTGCTTTATTAACCTCCTAAAGGGTACATCAAAATGTACTTAATATGTGAAATGTTTTAATTCCTATGATAACATAAACGTCTAGTGTACATTATCATGAAAATATCACATTCAAATTTAGCGCAATATATTCTATATGACCATAAGGTTGTCGATGACCTCGGTGGCCCGACGGTTTATACTGTGGGCAATAGATGAGGAAGTCCCAGGTTCAATTCCCGGTAAGATCAAATTGGGAAATTGGTTCTGATCAGGGTGTTCTGGGAAGTGCAATGAATTTCGTTGCGCTGGTACTCATAGTACAGGGAATTCCGAGTCTGGTACTAAAAAGGGAATCTAGAAAAATACGTTTTTCATACAAAACTGAGGGTATGTAGTTATATTTAGTACATAACTAGTTATATTGTATAAGTAGTTATATTTAATACACTCATCAAGTGTCTAGGGATCAAGCAGATTACTGAAAATCAGGTTTTTTAATAATTTTTTAACACCATTGGTTTTTTTGGTCATTTCATAATTAAATAAATAATTAATATAATAAATTTATACAGATATTTTTACTTGATAAGGTAATCAAATAAACTAACTTGGTCCCTAGACATTTTTTATATGTGTACATTGGTCGTTTAAAGCTTTTCCCATTGTAATTTGCCAGGTCATAAAAAGTTAATGGTTGTGACAATCTTTGTGTTGCCGCAAAAAGGCGGCTTGCGGCATCGCAATTTATACAACCGCTGCAGTTAAATTTTAAACGTCAAACGGAACTGTACCCAGAGTTTCGGCTATCAAGAGGTGGCACGTGACGTCGGTGACGGATCGTCAGTCGCGGCTGTTTCTTCTGCCTCAGCCGCCTTGTCATCGGACATTGTCTTCAATCGGGGCTCGTCGAACCGCGAACATGCCTCCAATACGTACTTGTTGAATAACTCCGGCTTATCTAAATATACATGATGGCCTGCGCCGTTGATTACCTGTGCGGGGAAAAATAATAGGTGTGAACGATGAAGTCTAGTAATAAAGTAATAATAAAAACTGACACATCACAAACCCGCACTAGTGAAACCCTGTATCGTGGGTGCCACGCAAACATATACAGACAACCATAAATTACACCCAAACTCACGAGAGAAATAGATATAGGCCATAGAAATATTTTCTATGTTGAGTGTGTGCGTTATTTCTCCCGGTCCGGGAATCGAACCCGAGACCTCTACGTGGCAGTCCAACATGGTAACCGTTCAGCCACTGAGGCAGTAGTCTGTAGTTTGGTGCTAAAATTTTTTTTAAGAAACCAAGTGACAGGATAAACAAGTCGTGCGCCTGGTGTTAATCGACACGCCTGTCCATAACAGTTGTAATGCCACTCAGAGCTTAAAATCTCCCTGATATGCACACATCAAATGTGTTGAGGGATCCAGGCATTGTTTTTTGAATACGTGATTACCCTATCTAAATTAAATACAAATATCTACATAAATTTATTTATTAAATTATGAAACTGTCTAAAAATGATGTAAAAAAATTATTGAAATTCGGATTTTTCAGAAATAGGCAAAATCTTCCATGATCCCTAAACACTTCACGAGTGTATATATCTTTTACAGTTTCAATTTTTAGGAAGGACTTTAGTAAATGATACGTCATGGGGGGGAGGAGACCCCCTGCAAAATTTCAAAGTTAGGACGTTGATAGTTTTCGAGATATTAATTTTTGAAAATTCGAAAAAATAACCTCAAAATTATATTTTCGCACCAAATGCAAGGAAAAAAGAGTAAAAAATGTGGGAATGATGTGTAGGCGAGGGGCACGATGAACTTACAAACTAAGAATATTAATAGTTTTCGAGAAAAAAATTTTGAAAAATAACCTCAAAATCATATATTTTGACGTTTAGTGCACACACGGACTCCAATATCTACCTATATCGATTCAATTCGTTTTTGCCCAGAGGGACTTCCGCGTTTGTATAAAAAAACCTAACTTAACCTAAATAATCCAATTCGTTTCTGCCCAGAGCGACTTTCGCGATTGTAATTTAAAAAACATAACAATCTTTATACACAACGAACAACAACATAAATAGTAGTAAGTAAGTAAAAACACTGTAAATGGCTAAAACGCTTACCGTGAAAAGCCAAGAGAAATAAAAAAAAAACAAACGCGATAAATGACGTTGCGTTTTATTGTTGAAATTACGAAATTGTTATTGAATTATCATTACTATTTCAAAGTAACCTTCTTAAGAAATAATATTTTAAATATAATGTAAATGCTATTAAATAAGTAATAGTGTTTAAAAAACCAATAAAACATAATATACTTCCAAAATTTAAACAACACTTGATATAATGAAGTTTCGCATTAGGTAATTGTCAAATGCGTTTTTTCTTGCTTTAATTTTCACGATTTTCAAAAATTATTTTCTCGAAAACCTTTGGCGTCCTAAAACTGAAAATTTGTGGAGGGGTTCCTTTTGATTAGGTTTGATTAGTGTCAACAACAACAAATCTTAAAAATTTGAACACCCAACTCGACGTCACGTATACTAAAGTTGAGCCAATTTTTAATTAAAAAAGCAAATTTGTAAAATATAAATAACTTTTGCAGCAAAAATGTAACTTTTCAGGTAACGAAATGTAATTTTCAACTCAATGACCTTGGCAATACTGATAAACAAACATAAGAACGCCTCACCTGTACATAAGTCTTATCGGATCGGCGTTGCTCAGTGAGCACTTGCCCCGTGGTGTTGTCGACCCAGGAACGTGCACCGTACAGCACTGTTACCGGCAAGTTGGGATCCAATTTGTCCAAACGGTGGACCATGGGGTTTTTGGCCCACCCGAAGCTTTGCATCAACGTGTGGAATGCACTTTCACCACTGTAACAAAAAGTTGGCGAAATTACAACTAGAGTTGGTCGGTTAAACGAGAAGAACGTAAAAAAGTTTGCTTATGTTCCAAATCCCGTTATCTATGCAAAAGCATGCACAACGTAGCAAGCTTTTTTTAACATAAAAGTCTATGCGCTTAAACGTTTTTCAAAACCATTTCGTAAGCTTCAAACTAAAAAACGTTTAAGTGAAAACATTTAAAAAAAAAGCACAACATTTTAACTTTTTTTAAATGAGCAGATTTCCCATCACTAATTACAACAATAATAAAAAGAGGTAAGAAAAGTATGGTTACGTGATTAAAATGTTACGACCATAGATGTTACGACTGATCACAGTCGTAACATTGCAGGCTGTTTTATTACCGTTGTATATCTAAAAATGGTAGATGAATTGAAGTCGAGAACTATATTCCAAGTAGAACAACATTTTGAGTAATCCTGTCACCCCGATGGCAAGCAGTTTATGCCATCGATACGATAAGAAGAACATTTTGGGTGAATAACACAGAACAATAAATATTAGTAGAAATGGTTAGTTAGCATCGTACGAGTGGCCACCGTATAGACAGTTGCGTTGACAGTCCACACTTGAGGTCAATCTGCCATTTTCGCTTTGTACGGGTATGGTTGTCATTCTTTCGCGCAAATTCTCTAAAATTCTAGAAAAATGCCTTATTGTGATGTTTTGGAGAGCAAAAATGATAGTCCAAAAATATTACACGTGGCGGTATCTCATATCATCGGTTCACTTCTATTATTATTTTCTTCCGTAGTGAACAAATAACCTTTGGAATACCGATACCCGACTTTGCATGTTACTAATACTAATCATTCGTATGGGCAAACCATCGAGTATATAACCAGACATATAGATGAAATAAGGGCCATCCATCCCTGGCAAGTCATCAGTCAAATGGTGCTATCACTTTTAAATATCAACTCTCGTTTGAACTGAAATCACAAAATAGAAAGCTGAAATAGTACAGCGTCAACAATTGACCTGTGTGTACGTCTCCGTATATTCCAGAAATATTATGTATTTATTGTAATAAAGATAATATCTCCAATAATGGGGAGCTATTCCATTCGGTGGTGTGAGAAAAACAGTAAAACATCTAATTACAAAACAAACGGAATCACATTTCATCGGTAATTCCATAATATTAAATAATGTAATTTTTCAAATTTCGTCCATTATAGCAAAGCTCAAGTTAAACTGGTCAATTTGAAGTGATACAATTGACGACACCCGTTAATTGTTTCGAATTTGGGCTGGCCAATCGGAGTGCAGTTGTCACCGTAATGATATGGCAGAATAGTTTTCTAACAAATTATGACATTTCGTCTCTATTTCAGGTTATACATATAAGCGATTGCATCGACGTAAATGCGCGACTGCATCGATACAAACGCGCGATAGCATCGACGCAATCGCCTATAAATCCCAAGTGTAGCAATGTAATCGCAATTCCATCCTGATCACTCACTATGTCCATATCAAAATATCTCTGTCCCCGCCTCATTTACGGTATTTAGTGTACCCTAGATCATTCGAATACCTAAATTAGTAGATTACTAATTTGTCATTCGAATGATAGGATTAGTAATTACTGACGAGTTGAATACCGACATTATTCGCAATGGCGCAACGCTAGTTTGAAAGCGTGCCGAAGCGTCCTGAAGGCTCCCGATGAATTCCGGAGGCTGCCGGCTATCCTAAACTTACCGCATCTTTGTTTTTGTAAGTACGACCTTAAACATTGAAATTTCAACTACAAGCTCATAACATTAGGGTACGTGTATTCGTCACCTCCGTCAGTGTGCACCGAGCGTAATAGCACAGATTACCTTAATAGTTACTACGTAACAGATACATCACTATAGCCTACTAAATCTGACTAATAACACCAGGTGCTCACTACGAGGAAAAAGGAGCCTAAGCATGCGGCCAGAAAGGTGAAAATAACGTTGCCCGTCGTGTGCAGTCGTGCGGAGCCGAATGCTCATAAATGAAAGACTTGTTTGTATGAGCGCTTGAGCCGACGTCGGCACACTTAGCGGTAGGACTTAAAGCGTAACCTTGAGCGAGTGACGGAGCCCTGGTAATGAGTCCATTTATTCAAGCATACTATTCACATTTATAACAACAACTTACCTGGGCGTCTGTGAGTTACACTGGTATATATATTCAGGTATAATAGTTTCTGCGTCGGGAATGTACTTCAAATATTTCCGCGATATGTCAGGTCTTGTCTTGCCCACGAGCCATTTGCCGGCCGGCCCTGCGGCTCGTACTGCCCACAGAGGATTCAACGGTTGTACAGCTACAGCGACTGCCTTGACCCATAGAGGGACATTGTATTTTTCGTATACGTTTTGAGGTTTTTCTACAAAGCCCCAAGGATCTGCTAGAATTAGGTGACGTACACTGTGAACAAAGAATTTTGTTTAGACCAATACCAAAGTATAATAAGGCAAGTGGGCAACTCAGCCTGTTCGGCGCGTCGATGCCTACACGTAGACGTTCGGATCGTAGGGTTGTCACACTAGCATAATCACAGTATTCCCGTGATGTATTGAAATAACCTCTGTCCAAGGTTGCACTTACTTTTTGACATTTTTGTACTACCATCGCGGATTGGTATCTCAATTATGGGAGTATGATTATAAAATAGTTTTTTATGACATTTTTTATGAGACCAAAGGATGGGACAAACAAGTCGCCCACCTGGTGGTAAGTGACACGCCTGTCATAACCATAACATTTGCATTACCACTTAGTGTTTTAAATCACAAAGATCTGAGGGGTACTGCCACTGCGCTCGCCACCCTAACACATCTCATGTGCCTGTAATTTCACCAGCCGCTTCAGCTTCAATGCTAAACATTTCTGAATTTAAGGCACTCCTGTTCGTACTACACAATAATAATATGGTGTAGCGTAGTGGGGGAAAATCAGCGCACGTACAGTTTTGTGCAAAATCATTTTTAAGAGCAATCTCTGAGGACCCGCGTTCGATCCCCAGCCAGGTCAATGTAGAAAACTTGTCTATATTATCTCGGATCTCACACGCACAAAGCCGTCAATCTGCGAATCAATAGGTATTGGGAGTTCGGTGAGGTCGGACGGGCTGTGGTCAACCATTTTTTGTTAAGAAACCAGTGTTACGGAACAGCTACAGTTAAACGGATTGAAAGGATCCAACACTTGGTCATGCCTATAAATATGACACTGTTAACACAGACTACACATTTACACGGGTCTCCATCTGAGGGTACACTCCATCATGATGGCCCAATGGGGTTTCAGGGCCTTCATATCTTTAAGAAATTATGTTAACGATTTCGGTGGCCCAACAATTTGTACTGTGTATGAGAAGAACCGAGAGTTCGATTCCCGATAGAACCAATTTGGGAAATGAACTTAAACTCATAGTACAGGAAATCTCCTAGTTTTGAGTCAAAGTAAACGGATCAAAATGGTTGAATTAATTTCGCTGAGACAGAACCCAGGTTATACGTGGGCGCACTATAAGTTTTCGGAATGAATAAGAAAAAAATGCTATAAATGGTCAGAAATGAATTTATTGTTTCTCAAAATATTCTCCGTTAGTGTTAATGCACTTTTTCGTACGAATGAATACATTTTGAAAACATTTATGCCACTCCTCCGTGATAATCTCTGAAACATTTTTGATACTCTTCGACAGCCTCTTCAATCAGGTGATGAAAATTTTGCGTTGACTGCGTAACTGGTTCTTAATTTTTGGAAATAAAAAAAATCATTTGTCTGTCTGGCCGTGTGAGAACTGGCATTATCATGGTGCAAAATGATACGGCGTTTACGGTTATTTTTACGGAGTTTGTCAATAACTTCCGGCAAACAAATGGTCGTGTACCAATCACTATTCACAGTACAACGCTTCTCCAAAGCAATAGTAGCCACGTGTCTAGTTTTATTAAAAAAAGAAACAATCATCCGCTTAGAGCCACTTTACACGCGTGCCACTTTGGTTGGTTTCGGCTCACCTCGAAAGACTCATACGCTCGATTGCTGCTTTGTTTTGGGATCGTAACTATAAATCCATGTTTCGTCACTTGTTATTATCCCCCACACCAAATTTGACGCCCCTTCGTTGAATATGGTAAGCATGGCATTGCACTAAGTGACGCGATCCGTTTTTTGAGCCTCAGTCAAATTGTGTGGAATCCACCGAGAGCACAGCTTTTTCACACCCAAATGTTTGTGTAGTTTTGATTGTACTTGACTCATGCCTATGCTTAAAGATGCCCGAATCTCAAATATGTCACATGCCTGTCTGTTTTGATCATAATGCGCACAGCATCAATATTTTGTGGTTCACAGCAGTGGATGGGCGACCATCACGAAATTGGTCACTGAGATTCACACGATCGCGTTTGAATTCTGCAAACCAGCTATAAATAGTCGTCTTGCATAGTGCTTCATCGCCAAAAGCAGTTTGAAGCCGAGCGAAGCTCCGCTGAGCTGCTAAATTACACTTAAATTCGAAAATTTTCACGAGTTAAATCCACGGTGAAGTAGACAACCATTTTCTAAAATGACGCCACAATATAAAAACAAGTGACAGTCAGATGAAACAAACTGTATTCTACAGCCAAAGAGTTCCATTTTCAAATGTTGTAATTACTTTTTAAATATTGTTTATGTAAGTGGTCAGTTCCGGAAACTTATAGTGCGCCCTATGTAGCAGAGTTCATCATCTCCAACCCATTTATATGTCCCGCTGCAGGGCACGGGTCTCCTTTCAGGCAAGAGTTTTAGACCATAGTCTACCACGATGCCCCACAGCAAGTGGAGACTTTACAAGTTTTCCGGGGGTTGTGAACCTCCTTCGATTTACAGGATTCCTCACGAAGTTTTCATTCACTGAAAAATCATGATAAATGTCGGATTCAAATTAAATTGTGCAAATTAATTCCGAAAAACTCGGATGTGCTTCCACGACAGCACCACAATAGGCTCACTTGTTCAAAAAAAAGTTTAAAAAAATCTTACCGATCAGGATACTTCATAGCATAAGCAGTGGCTATGTACCCTCCTAAACTATGTCCGAGTAAAATGAACTCGCTGAGGTTGACCTCGCGACGCCACTCTTCGACCGACTCCACCCATTGCGCTTCCACTTTCGTCGCGTCTGAAGCAAACTTCGGCCGCGAGCTTCGACCGAAACCTGACACAGCACCCATTAATATTAACAAGCCATCGTCAATCAAGTTTCATACTGTTGCGAACCGGCCTTACACACAAGTCAAAGTCAAAAGAATCATTTATTCCATAAGTAAAATAAATTTACACTTGAAAACGTCTTGCTTGCTACTGCACTACGCTGACTTCCCAGAGAAGAACGAGCAAGAAACTCTAGGGATTACTCTTTTCAAATAAACTTAAATGCTATGAAATACACTTTGAATCAAATTTGTGGGGAATCTAGACCCATGTCGTCTTTCCATCATCATTTTATCTAACCTGTTGTCTTCAATTTTGTAATATGACTTGTCAATAAAAATATTTATAATGTAGTTTTTAAATTTAGGAAATGATAAACATGATAAGAAAGATAATGACAAATGATTTTTGTAAAATCGTATACAGTTCCCCATAAAAGAGTCGTTTACCTTGGCTAAACGAAATCGTGGTACCATGACTTAGGTTAATGTTATGGATATCTTCTTTCTTATGAAACTATGTATATTTTTACGGGCATATAAAATTTTTGAGTAAATGTACTGTGATGCCACAGTCATGATACCAGTCTCCTTAAACTTTACTCTGAGAGAAACCAGAGATGAACCCGCGCTCGGGACGAGACGCGCAGGAGGTCGACGCAGCCTAACGTAACGTCACGACTAGCGGCAGCGGTACAGAGGCACTCGCTTAATCGACAACCACCGGCGACCGTCTATCTTCCTATTATATATTGTATTTGAAAAGCAATCCATGTACTTCATTGAGACGGCGAATATTATAGAATAGAATATTTAGTAGCAGTAGAGCTTCTTGTGAAAAGTTTGTCCAGTGGAGCTGCCAAGCAGTAATGCAATCATTATTGCGTTCCGGTCTTGAAGGGTAAGGGTGCTGGTGAAATTACAGGCACATGAGACTTGTGAACTTATGCCTCAGGGTGATGGGCGCAGTGGCAGTGCTCCTCAGAACTTTGTGAGTCAAAGCACCGAGTGGTACTGCAACTGTTATGGACAGGCGTATCGGTTACCGCCAAGCACACGACTTCTTCGTCCCATCACTTGGTATTATAAACAATATATATACACCAGTCCTATTATAATATACACACATCAAAAAAAGTTTGCGATCAATAGCATAAGCTCCTATAATTCTTTAAATTTAACTTTATCAAGAAAAAATCTATGTTGTATGCTTTCTTTAAATAGGAATACCCTGTTTGAAATTAAAATATAAAACTATTTTTTATTATTTATTTTAAAAAATTGAGCCATTAGTCATAATGTAATAGTGATAGAAATTTCATAGAAAGAAAAAGACTGTTTAATTAAACTTAAACAACAATTTATTATTAAAAGGTGTGAATTCAATATAAAATAACTCCTCCCCTGGCTCGAATACATGCGAAGATCCTCCTGGGCATGCTGAGGATCAAGTTATCCAGCATTTCCTGGGGTAACCTATCCCATTCTTCAATAGCGGCTTCCCTGAGCTCTGGAACTGTTTGGGGACGTGGCTCACGGTTCCATACTGCTCGTTTAAGAGCATCCTACGCGTGCTCTATTGGGTTTAAGTCGGGCGAGCCGGCAGGCCAGTCTAATCGTGTGATATAGTATTCTTGAAGAGCAGCATTGACTCGTTGAGCTCGATGTGCGGGCGCATTATCATCGACCAGTACAAATTGGTGCCCATGGTTTACTCGGAATGGTCTGACGATATCATCAATAGCAACTGCTTTGTACATGTCTGCTGTCATGAAGCCCCGATACGGAATCAAAGGCGTTCTAGCTCCAATCATAATGCCACCCCAAAAGGACACCGATTTTCCGCCTTGCTGAACTGTTCCAGTGGCAGTTCTTTGTCTTTCACGGTCGCCTGGTCTTCTCCAGACACGGACGCGTCGGTTATCTGGATGAGTGCTGATTCGGGATTCGTCAACGAAGAGACAGTTTTGCCAAATGTTTTCGTCCTCACCTTCTTCATTTTGCCGAAGTCTAGCCCACTGCAATCTTCGTTGTTGACGTTGCCGGGAATTGAGCGGAGCTCGCCAAGACCTCCGTGCTCGTAATCCAGCCTGGTGCAAGCAATTGCGAACGGTCTGCGTGCTAACTTCAAGCCCAGAGGCGGCCCTGACTTCTGCTTTTATTTTAGTGGCGTTGATTGTTGGATCACGGGCTGCCAGCAATCTAATATAGCGCTTTTGGGCAGCTGTCAAAACAGTTGGGCGACCGCTGCGGGGTCGGTCAGCTAAATTCCCCATTCCGTGATACCTCTGCAACGTAGCCACGACACAGGATTGGGATATAGCAAGTCTGCGTGCTATTACTCTTGTGGTGTATCCTTCTTCCCTCAAAGTTACTATTCTAGCTCGTAAAACCTCTGATAATCCTCTTGGCATTTTTTCAATCACAACTTTCCGCGAAAAATATCTTGAATCGCTTATAATTGACTAAATCAGATTTCTGAATGAGCGTAAGCTAGGACTGAAAGCCTTTTTATATGAAAAAACAATTGAACGGGGTCATTGTTTTATGTTCTAATTTATTTTTAAATATTTTAATTTTGTTCTAATTTATTTTTAATTTTTAAATCATAATATAATCTACAGTAACAAAAATGATTTCAGTTTTTCGAAGTGATCGCAAACTTTTTTTGATGTGTGTAGTTCACTTTTTATTGTAATCCCATTAGGACCCCTAACATTGGTCCTTCGAACCGGACTTTTAGTTAAAAAAAATGTACCTCAAACTGAGTGGAATTTTATTTGCCAAGTTTTATTGAAAACGGTTAACGAGAAGTGGGTGAAATGTTAAAAAACTGGGTTCATCCCTTAATTTGACACCCTCAGAGGTGGAATATATTCTTCAAATTTTAATGGGACCACTATTGACGTAGGTAGCCACTATCTTACAAAAAAGAATAATCGAAATCGGTAATATACATACAAAAACATACAGTCGAATTGTGAATCTCCTCCCCTTTTAAAAGTCCGTTAAAAAATTAAAAATGATGACGCTGGACGCGACCCAAACCCAGCAACAATTTTATGAAATACCAAACGCGACCGCAGAGATTTTTCATTGGCAAATAGATAACTTTAATTTATTTATTAAAAATACATGAAAGCTTACAGTATTTACAGTATTTTGGTACTGTAGGTTTCAAATATTTTAACTAATTTCAGTGCTTTGGCACTTACAAGTAAAACGGATTAAATTAAAAAAAATAAATAAACATGTGATAATAAAATTATAAGTACGTAGTATGCATATAGATAGCGACCCACTCTACAGAATCTGTGGAATGCTGACGTCATACTTAGAGTATTGCAAAACATACTATGCTTACGTACGTAATCATCTACATTACATACGTAGTTCATGAATGTTTTAAAATTCTTTGAACGAGAATTGTATTTATAAAATATTTTATAATAACTCACCTAGCAAATCAATGGCGTACACAGGCCTCGTGGCAGCGAAGGCATCAAGGTTTGGGCACCACAGAGCGAGGCCGGCACCCATGCCATGCAGCAACACCAGCGGCGTCTTATTCGATTCGTCGTTCAGCGATATAGTCCATATTTTGTCGCTTTGCCCGACCACTGATCCGATATCCACATAAAATCTTTTGTATGCTGTTTTTATACCTGAAATAAAAGATTACCGTGTAATTAAAGGAAATAACTTATTTATAAAAAAAAATACTTTAAAAGTTCTTGGAATTAAATTTATTTGCCAAGTTTTATTAAAATCGGTTATCGGAAAGTGCGCGAAACCGGATTCATAGAAAATATTCCACCTCTAAGGGTGACAAACTAGGGTAGTTTGTCACCCTTAGAGGTGGAATATTTTCTTCAAAATTAAATAGGACCAATACTGAGGCACCCTTTCTCATACAAAAAAGAAACATCATAATCGGTTCATAAATGCCGGAGTAATCACGTAACACACAAAAAATACAGTCGATATGAGAACATCTTCCTTTTTTTAAAAAATCGGTTAAAAGGCATTGACTTACAATTATATGGACGTCGGGTCCGCGCTAAAAAGTGTCCGCACTTTTAAGGCGCTAAAATCGTATACAGAGCGCGACACTCCGCTTTAGTCTTCATTTGTTCTACAGACAGCTCGATACTGCGATGACATTACAATTTAAATTTCGAATAGGTTGACTGGGGACATTTTTTTTCGTGGTTTTTGTATTAGACCCGCCGTCCATTTATTTGTAAGTCAATGTTAAAAGGTAAAGGAAAAAAGTCGGTTAAAAGGTAAAGGAAAAACTGTAGTGTATAAGATTATTAGACAGTAAACATTTTTACCACAGCCGATTTTCAATCAATCCCCTTAATTTGTAGCTTAAACCGTTGCAACCTAATGGTTACACTTGACAATTCGACTGTATTTTTTTTGTGCGTATGTTGTCGTGAACCGATTTTAATGATTCTTTTTTTGTTGGTAAGAAACCCTCAGTTTTAGTCCCATTTAAATTTGAAGAAAATATTCCACCTCTAAAGGTGGGGAGGAATCCAGTTTCGCGCACTTTCCGGTAATCGATTTCCATAAAAGTTGGCAAACAGAAGTAATTCCACGAACTTTTGAGGTCGGTTTTTTATAAAAGAGTGATAGTCTTTTAATAAAGATAAACCCGAAAATATGTACGTGTAATGGTATGTAAATTTCGACGTTTCGTTGTCCTGACCAGAAAAGCAGTATTTGCAGGTAACTAAAATTTTCTCGTTTGTTTATGACAAAACCAATTGGACGTAGTTAAGCAAAAAGGACCCAATCCACAAAATTATCAAATAATGATTTATAAGTCTAACCTCTTAGATCAGCATATAAACAAATAAATAATTCTGGAGTTACATGACATTATAAGGTTTGAAAATAAACAAGAGTGAAAAACTGCCATAATGTCCAAAGTGACTGGATGTGCATTGGATCCTTTTCGTTTAACTACATACAATTAGAAAATGATATTGATAACCCAGAAACAAAAAAACGTGTTACACGGTGTTATTATTAACCCTCACTTTGACGTATACACGAGTATGAGTAATAGACATTCTAACTGCCGGTAGATTCGCAAAAAATAGCTGTAAAAAGTATAATTCAAGCCATATTAAATAATTGATACAAAGCCGGTACTAGATTTCATCAGATAAGCTGAGTCACCGCATATCAGCCATTTGAACATGACCTTGACTCGGGCCGGGACGCGAGCCGAGTAATGAGCAAGTCACGGTGTTCGTGTTTTTGGGCCCGTGTTTTAGTGAAGTTATGAATAATATTTTGTTTAAAGATTAGAACAACGAATAAAAATTACTTTTAATAATAGTAGAGCTCCGTGAAAGATTTTGTCCAGGGAAGTACTGCCTTACCGATTTCTGCCGCAAAACGGTAGATAATGTGAGCATTATATATTATATGTGGAAACTTATAATTAGCCCTCAGCATACATGCACTGGCCTGTCAGGCGTGTATTATATTTTATTCTATTCTTGTTACCTAGCTGTAAGTTTTCCAAAAATAATGAAAATAAAATAAATAAAAATAAAATTACTATGTTCAATTTTGAAAGGTAAGGATGCTGGTGGAATTACTGGCACATGAGACTTGTCAACTCATGTCTCAGTGTCAGGCGCAGTGGTAGTGCCCCTCAGTGTCGGTTACCACCAGGCGCACGACTTTTTAGTCTCATCACTTGGTTAGAAAAAAAAAACCAGACATATACTATGCACAAGTTTAGGTATACTACCGAAGGGCGATAGTTACTGAAAATAAGCGAATTATTCGATTATAAACAATCAAAATAATTCGATTGTTGATATCAATTAATTACTAATTAGTTACTAGCTTACTATAATACTTCAATTTTTGATTATTCATTAAATGTCGATTATGAATCGACATAGTTATTAATCTACTAGTTACAAATTTTTTACTGTTAAACAAATATCGTAACAAGTAGTAACAGGATTTTTTGTTAATAAATTAATAATAGGATCGATTGGTACAAAAATAAGTAATAGGATCGATTTTTTTTTACATTCCGTAGTATAGAGGACCTTTTTCTAGACACTGAAAATTTAATTAGTAATTACTACTTTAGTAATTCGATTATATCTCTGTAAAGACGGCTAAATCGAAAATTGAATATAGGATAGTGCAACTATTGATTTATTCGATATTTTTTTAGTAACAATCGCCCATTGCTAATGAATACGTAGTTACGAGTAATGCGTCACTATCTCTGATAAATTCCATTATTTTGAAAATACAGTAACAAAGACGTAAAAAACTTCTAGATAAGAGCGGCGATAATTCTATCGACTTCAATTACGTCTAAACTCCACCGAGATGACTCGACTGACAACAGCAATATTATCAATTGCTTCCCGGAAATAAAAGTTTAGTTTATGATTGTTTAATCTTCGCAAATCTTTTTTTTTATTGCAACTTGAAACTCTTCCATTTTTGTAATGCGGGTTGATTTGTTGGTTGATTTTTTTACTTTACAAGACATTCAATAATCAACATTGTTCAATTTTTTTTCATCGTTTTATGGCGTTAGTTACTAGATCAAATGGTTTAGATGTATACTGTTAAATAACGGTTTCACAAAAAATATACGATAATTATATATAAAATTACCTTTGTATATGTCCTTTATAACTTGTGTTTCATGTATTTTTCTTTGTGCAATAAAGAGTTATTATTATAATTACGATTTGTCACTGACGGCCTGCCCCCGTCAACATTTTTGTATAATGTACGGTTATGAGCGCACCCTGGGAAATAACCGGCGAGTATCATCACGCCGACTGGCAAATCCTCTTACTGTGATGGCAAGCATTATAGTGTAAGCCATTGATACGACAAGAAGACTGCAGATGTGCAGTTCATCTGTTGGCAGTCGTAGCCGGTCGTATAATAAAGAAATAAGAAAATAGCTTATTGTAGGTGTTCGAATATAAACTTGTCGTCTAATTGATAATTCTATATAGTTGTTCCTAAGACACAAGACCAACCGGATGAAGTCAAGTGATAGAGGTCTATAACAACCCTGTACACTGGCTGATCTGGGGTCAGAAGGTTCCTGTGCGCGCACACGTTATAGTGCCCTTCTCGTATACCCTAAGGGCCGGTAGGGAGGGTCACTATAATGCAAACGAATGTAGAAAGGTATGGGGCTGTTCCTAAAAGACACCAGTGTTAATATAATTTTCACTTACATGATAGTATTTGTTTCTCGACGTTACGTAGCATGCTATCCGACTGACGAGTCCAGCTGAACCATCCACCGGTCCAACTGAAAGAAAAACAGCTGCTATTAAAAACGTCGACAGGTACATTTTTAAACAAGGCCAAACTAGTACTAGCTTGCAAAATAAAATTTCCCAAAGCCTAGCTCAATGTGTATAACGAACAATTGGGTTTGGTGCAATCAACAGCCATAATCGAATGTTGCGTACTGTCACATAGAAGCACATAATCATCGGGACGTCTTAATAAAAAAGTTGAATTAGCCTTGGTATTTTAAGCTTAAACACACCAGGGGCACTGCTCTCGAAGCAAGAAATACGGCGTGGCTTGTTCCAGCGTGAACATGGTCGAGTTTTTGAAATTTGATTAGCCAGAAAAAAGGCGCTATTTAGTCGGTTTCAGTCGCAAAAAACTAGATTTAGTCGTTACGCCGTTTTGAAGTTATTCACTATTCTGGCACGGTTTGCTAGAATTCGAATCCGGCCGGATCTAAGCGTCGACGCGCGACGACGCTCGCATTAGTGCGCCCGGATCACAATGTGATCGGCGTCTGACGCCCCACTGCGCTCAAGTGTACGCGCCGCATCCAAGTTCCCGTTTCCATATTTGCATAACACAAATTTGTACCTTAATAATGGGAAAATATAAGTGCATATACTATAGGCGAAAAACATGACGCGTCGCGACGCTTCGACTCTGCGCTAGTTTGAGTTAAGCCAAGTTAAGGGATTGTTTCACCGGAAGTAAAAAATATTACTAAGATTTTTAAATCTTTTAGACCAATGACTGTATAAAATAACAAAGAAAACAAAACCGAAACACGCAATAAAACAAAGAGAGTTTAAATAAATCATCAACTGTCTATTTAGCTTTATACTGTACAGCAGCATTCTGTATAAGTTACATCTACGGATAAAGTACAGCGGTGGCGAACGGTCAATGTAACAGAATTCCAATTGGTTTGAATAAGCAATGTATTCTTTAACATAGCATGTATTTAAAGGAAAATGACATTGTTATGTTACATTACAGCATCGACAGCGGTAGGTAATCGACACGCTTGTCCACAACAGTTTCATTGCCACTCACTAATTTTCATTCGTAAAGGTCCGAGGGGCACTGCCAGTGCGCCCGTCACCTTGAGACACAAGTTGAAAAGTTCTATATGCCTGTAATTTCACCAGTACCTTTATCCTTGAAAACCGAAAAGTAGAGTAATGGTCACATTACTGCTCGGCGGCAGAAATAGGGTAAAGTGGTGTTATTTCCCTGGACGAACTCTTCACAAGGAATTCTGCTACTAAATGTCGGTTCATCCAGTAGTAGAACAAAGGTCTATGTGCAAGACTACTTGTTCTCAGGACATAGTACATTTCGTTCGTTCTTCTTCGCTGTGGATGTCAGATCGACCGTTGTTCGATTTTATATTTCCGTAATGAAATAAGATACATAAATTCTCAAAATACCTTACGTAGGCCTTAGTTTGAATAAGGAAATTATTCTCGTAACGTACTTATTCTCTTTTCGCTATATAATCACATCGGACTCTGTTATTCGGATGAGTCAATGTACTGTTTAAATGACTAATGTACGGCCAACATTATAGCATGATCAAATCTGTATTTTAATTAGATTGAAAGCTTAAGTAAAATAATCTTTATTCTAAGGCTCATTCAGAGTGCAGGCACGGGCGCGGCGGCGGGTGCGGGCGCGCGGGTCTTGGCGTCTTCCCTTTCACAGTGACGAAGCGGCTACGAGCGGGTAGATCCACATGTCGAAATCGAAAACAAACAATAGACGCTAAATCAAGCATTGTGAAAAGTACGGACGAACCGAGCCAATAGATTTACCCGCACGGCTACTGTGAACGCAACGAGCGTCTAAGGCTCAACTTACACTAGCGCAGAGTCGAAGCGTCGGGGCGCGTCCTGGGGGTCTCGATCTTCGTCCGACATCCGTCCGAAACAATTACTGTCAAATAAGTAACATTCGACAAAATTAAAAGACAAGTATCAAGTATGAAGTTTCATTTGCATCACGCGTCATTTCATTTGGTCAAGTGTTGCTTATTTGGCAGTAATTGTTTCGGACGGATGTCGGACGGAGATCGAGAGTAGACCCCCTGTTTTCCAACTACAGCGCCTGGTAACGCGCGTCGACACGCGTCGTCGCGCGTTGACGCGGGACTCCATATTTGCATAACACAAATTTGTACCTCAATAATGGGAAAATAGAGATGAATATGCTATAGGTGAAAAACATGACGCGTCGTGAGTTAAGCCTAAGACGTTAAGCCCGCCCCGTCACTCTGAATAAGGCCATAGGCAAGCAAATTATACTTGAAATCGTCATTGATTAAACTCTACTGCTCATTCGTAAGGCAAGATTCAAAATAATAATTTGTTGTACCCTTAGCCATTAATTATTATTATTATTTGAACTCATGTTTGTTGTTGGGTTTGTAAGTAAATAAGTCACTCTTTGAGTATTGCAATATGGGTAAAATGCATTTAGAAAACAATTTTATTTTAATATAGTTGAAGGTCAAAGTACTGAGATAAAAATGGATTAAAAAAATTTTAATTTCGGCTGAGGATTCTCGTGGAGAGGCGAAACACGTGTCGGGTATATTTGTGGTGATGGTTTGTGACTATAGTTGCGCTTGTATTATTTATTTTATTAATTTTATGCGGAGGGAGGGTGTTATAATTAACTGCATGAAAAAATATTCAACACAAGCGCAGCTATTTTGCACGATTTAACCTTCACTGGGTTCGCGGAGTAGCAAATTAATTTACTTCCATTTTTACTACTAAAATAATCGATTGAGCTGAGAGGCCTATTGAGCGTTTCATAGTGTGACGTATATTCAAATAATACGGCTGTTCCATAACAAAACTTAATAAGTGCATTAGACATTTCACAGGAGAGCCCAAAAATAAATCAAGATCGTCCTTAAACTTTAATGTAAAAAAGTAATTAGTGTTTATTAGGTACGATCATTTTTTTGTTTATTAGGTATCAATCAACGAATATATTAATGTCACAAAAAATATCACGACTTATACTACATTACATATTTTATACCCCTTACTAACTTTGAATATTTGTGTACATAAGTAAAGTTATTGGAGCAGCCAGAATCAAAACACAATAAAGGTATTTGGTTTACTTATTGCATTTAGTTTAATTTGGAATAAAATTTGTTTTTGTTCGACTAATTAAATAATGAAACGACAAATAATTTTAGAATCAGTAAAATTCCACTATCCACTAATTGCCAATACAAATACATTGTAAGGTACTATAACTACCAACTTTAAAACCTAGCAAATGTCAAATACTTTTAAGTTACTTTAACGAGTGACTTAAAAGATTTTCATCCGGCCGAAACAATTACTGTGAAATAAGTAATACTCGACCAAAATAATAAACGCATGATGAATGATGAACTTCTTACTTGATATTGCCGTTTAATTATGTCCAGTATTACCTACTTATGTGATAGTAATTGTGTTTGAGAGTAGACCCCCAGACTAGATGTGACAAAAAGTTTTTAAAGTTTCGAAATCTTTGATAATTGTAGAATATTAAAGCAGCTGTCACCGCCATTAGATGAGTACGTAAGTACAGGGTCAAGAGCACTTCATGCTTGACACTTAAATCCAACTCTATGCCGCTTACGATAAGAACGAGCCAAAGTGCAAAGTGTCAAGCTTGATGTGCTCTTGACTGTACGTATGAGAATAGTATTCCGTTAAAATAT